TTGAGCGGGCCCCATTATGAAGGAATAGGCGAAACGATGGTATTTTACAATGCCTTTAGCGTCACACTACGGCAAATATCGTATCCAAATAAGGTATCAATGGCAAGAGAGAGCAACAAGGTTTCTTCTCGAACACTCGCCGTGATTATTTATATCGGTGTTTTTGGAAAGAAAATGCCCTAAAGACGTTCAACTTTTTGAGCGCCACTTGTCGTTCGGGACCGCGATACTCAATAAATTGAGCGCCACGACAGACGACAGTCAGCTGGCGCTCAAAAAATTGAGTGCCGGCCAGCATCTACACTCAATTTTTTGAGCGTTCTCCGTGACAGGTGAAGCCGGTACTGGCTGCCATTTTTGATGTTATGTTCGTTGAAATACGTTTAACTGAGTTGAAACAGAAATGCAGGAAGTTGAATGCTACGTGGTACCTAAACTTTTCACAAACCCATGGCATCATGTCACATTTTCCGCTAGTAGTTTTATCGGTCTTTCGGATTCGGCACACCTCAAATAATTATACAAGGCTTGAATAATCCGTATGAATACTGTAATTGATATTCTCTGACTGTACTGGGAGAAGGGAATACGTGAATACAGAGATATCCACCCACCCTTGAATATTGGAGAATTATAGCAGGAAAAACTGTATTGCCACGGTTACAACTTACAAGGCCATCGGCCGCAAACAAAGAAAAATACTATACAATGTGGGTTAGATTCACAAACATCATCAAGTGTGGAACACAGAGACGAGCAAAACAACATCACATTATCGCATGCCAGCCCGACCACATTGGAACCGGGTCCGGGTGACCTGCGACCGGAACCTGCGTCTTGCCAGCATACATCACAAAAGCAGGAGGCAGTGTCGTACTGCTTTGATCCAAAATATGCCATATAACAAATGATATAAACGACCTAAGCTCGGACTAAGCTTATCATTATCAAATCCTTAACATGTAAAAGACGAATGGAAACATCGAGTCTCATACCAGCAGTAGCAACGATCACAGTAGCAACATCACAAAGAACACGCGGCATTATCAGACAGCCGTTTTGTTATCGGGCCACAGGCGGCGACGGCGTGGTTGCAGACCAGCTGCGAGGTAGCGGCGTGCGGGCAAAAGGCGCGGGCACACCTCCATGTGGCCGTGCGGACAGTGCGCGGTCGGCGTCGCTTAGTGGGCGGCATCGGGCTGTCCCGGGCCGCCGAAGCCGCACAGGTTGTCGGCGCATGTGGGCGCGCGCGGTCACCACGGCCAGCTGCTCACCGCCAGCACAGACTGCGCAGCGTCGCCGCTCCGCCGGCCAGAACACGCAGACAACCCTTCTTGCAGTCGCACAACACGTCGCCAAACTCATTCACCTGCTCCACCATGTTGTTGATGTCACCGAGTCGTTCGAGTTGTGGCTCGTGCCGTCGAGCATGACCTGCCCGATCGGACACGGGTCAGCGGCTTCTGCTCCAGCGAAGTCTTCATCTTAGTGACGTCTTGCTGATCTCCACAAAGGCTGAGCAGATGACCTTACCCACAGAGACGGCCGACGTCCTCGCCAGCGACCGCTTGGTTGTGCAGACCTGCCAGAAAAAGAAAAGCTGTTTGGTGATCTCAAACGATTTTTTCTTTATGCAGTGGAACAAAACGGAAAATATGTCGTACAATTACAGGAACTAAAAAAAAGATGCAGCCTAGGTCGTCTAAAAAATGGGTGCAACATTGATAAAATTCTTCATTGAATGAATTCTGCGAATGCTTTTGATAAAATGTGTGGTGATTATAAGGAAACCACTTTACTATAAAATTGTTCAGGATTCCCTATCTGGACCTGTCAAAAAATCCTGACTGCACACCAACAATGAGCATTAAATCCAAAACCTCTACCAGGTACCTAGGGATAATTAAATTCTGATTCAGGAAAATATTTCACATCATACAAATAAAAACCTTTACTATATTGAAACTGAAAATGTGATGCTGATCCAGTGACCTAAGGGTCTCAAAGTATAATAATGAATTAATCGATTATAAATTTGGTGGTGACTGCCGACTGGCGTCTGGCGGCCTAGACCTTGAGGCTTGAAAGTGGCCTTCCTTTTCCGTTGACTCCGATCCTCCAGATGGAAATGATATAAAGGATCATTTTTATCTTATTTCATATGAGCGAGCCAGTCAGCAAAGTGGCTATCCTGTTTCAGCATTCACCCACACAATAGTTGACTGTCAGTCTGTCATGCTGTCAGTGTTGTGAAGTAATGAAGGAGTTGAGTTTTGTTGATTATAAATTGTGATGTTATGTAAAGGACTGGAAAATGAATGTGAAAACTATGGAAACATATTGGCAGAGTATTGTCACTTACTATCAGGACATATGGATAGAGAATACATTCAAATTAATAAGAAATGCCAAATATCAAGATACTCAATCACTGATAGCAGTGGACTATCATATGTTTTAATGTCATTTATATGAAAGTTAAGACTGAAACTACCTTTTACCTCATCATAACTAATGAAAAATTGTGTGAAGAAAACATTCACAGCCTCTTTGAAGCACTTAGACCACTAAAAAACAAAAATTTTCACGTAAATATGTTGTGTCTCCTTCCTTCAAAACATCATATCGGATGGCGCCACTTTCGTCGACAGTTACTTATCTGCACGCAAATCGAGGAAAACGTGAATTGATTGACGTTCACGTGTTTCCAAATTTAAAATCACAGCATATTCAAACTTTTCAGTGTACCTTTTAACATCTAAGTACAACTAAAACGATAAAAACTTACCCTCAACACAAGGACGACGACAACCACGCGACCGGAGACGTCGCGACGAAATAAACAAACGGCGCCGCCAAATGAAAAATATTCTCCGATATGGGTAATGTGAAATTGAATCGCAATCATTTTGGGTAGTATGAAAAATGCTCTTTCCAACAGAACCCTAGTAAAAAACGTGAATGGACAAAAAATAACTTTTATTTCGACATAAATATTGGCCTGTTTTTAAGTCATCCTGGTATGCCGTAAGATTTCGACCTATAAATTGGTGTTCCCCCAATCATTGAAGCTTGAGCAGTGAAAAATATGAAAGCCTAATCTGTTTTGCATCATTAGTGATTCTCCTAGGGTGTTGCCATTTCTCCCTAGGTGTTGCGAGTTGCTTTTGCAAAACGTGTTCCTGAAACGGCTCAATTTTTTGAGCCCTCAGCATTACGCCTATGGGAGCCTCTGACGGGGTGGGACTAAATGCTTACTTCGAAATCTAAGCTACGTTGCGGCATTGGCGGTTATGTGCGGCGTGTATGCCGCATGATTAGTAAGCGGCGACCACTAAATTAAAGACTCAAACGCTCCGACCGGTTCTCAATGAATAACACTGCATACCAAAAATGCCAACCGCTCTCGTCATAAGATATTCAGCTTTAAATAACTAGGATATCTACATCATCATTTTGAACCAAATTAATACTTTCAACTTAACTCACTCATTCCTTCCTTTGTTGTCTCCAAACAGTCTTTCGATTGTCTGGAAATCATCCCGTACCTGTATGCGACTGGTGCATATAAAGGCCGATAAAAGAATTTGAATAGGCTCTGGCATGCGATTTCCTGGCTACCCAAAAAAGTCTGTTTCAGTCTTGCTATCAAAACATGACCTCGCACGCACAGGGGGGGGGGGTTGATGCAACCCCCCTAAGGTTTTTCGCGAATAACTCGCTTAAAAAGCGGCTGATCGCGACGAAACTTTCAGTACCCTCGCATTGATCAATTTAACACCCATCCTGAAAATTTCATGACCCTGACCCAAATGACCTTTGACCTGTGGGCTGTGACCTACTTTTCGAGACCATGTTTGGCCGGAACCGCGATTCAGCGTATGTCGGCTCGCATTAGCAGCGCGTTTGCAGTCTTTTCGTGGTTTCAAGCGTTCAAACATGTGATATGATGTTGCCCCCATGCATTAGGGTGGGTGTCAAGGTCACCTGAAGGTCAGGTCAGGTCATTGACCTTTGGTGACCTCGGTTCACTTTTTCGAGTTTGACATGTTTCTAGGTCAGTTTTTTCGAGCTGAATTCGAATTAAGCAACCACATGAACGTTTACAAAGTAGTTTTGGTGCCTTCGTAACCTGTTACGAGGCTGTCAGAGGCGGTTGACACCTACTACAAATACCTGGCAGGACCTCTACTGGTTGACCTGACCTGACCTAACCCGACCTGGCCTAAATGAATGAAGACATCATCTGTGATCAAAACTAGCATGATATTCGTGATCAGCACCCCGAAAAACCCCATAGCAGCCACACTACGACGTTCTAACAGGTCCCAATTTTCCCGCCTTTTGGGTCATTGACCTGACCTGGAAGGTCAACCAATGACCTAGGACCTTAAAATTGGGTATCATCGGCTTTCTCTCGTCACGGGCAACACGCTCGTTTTTTCCGCGAAGCTCTAGCTTGATCAGGAGCGAAACGGCAAGGGGTTATACCTTATACGTTCGCGGCTGAGTATTAATTTGGTTCAAAACAATGATGTAGATAAGTTAGTTATTTAAATCTAAATATCCTATGACGAGAGCGATGGACATTTTTGGTATGCAGTGTTATCCATTGAAAACAGGTCAAAGCTATTGAATTTTTAATATAGTGGTCGCCGCTTACTAATCATGCGGCATACACGCCGCACATAACCGCCAATGCCGCAACGCAGCTTAGATTTCGAAGTAAGCATTTAGTCTCACCCCCTCTGACGTCACACGCTCAATATTTTGAGCGCTCAATAATTTGAGCTTTTCCCCCTTGTGCGTGGGACTGATATGCGCATTTTATGTATTAATTTACTAATTTACTCAAGAACGGCTTCAGTGGAAAATGGGAAGGTCAATTGTATCAGTGGCGGCGGAAGGTAATTTTGGATGGGGGTGCAAAGTTTTCTCAAGGGGCCCCTCTGGAAGTTTTGGGCCCCCCATTCATTTCTTTTTTTTTTGATTGTGTTAATGGCGCCCGCGGTCCGCATTGAATCCCTCACCCTTCCTTTGATGCCACACGTCAGCAGCTCTAGCTGAGTCGGACTTGCACCTCTAGCTGAGTCGGGCGAGTGCCGATGTGGCAGCTGGCCGCGGTCACGTGACCGAGCGTGACCCTTGTGCGGGCCGAGTAGAGGGCGTTGTTTTGTGCCCGGTGTGCTGAGGGGCGGACGTGTGAGCTGGAGCTGCGCGAAATGTAAGTGGATTCTGTATTTGAATTATACTTTGTTCTTTCTTGATATTGCTATAAACATGCTGATCGATTCATTAACGTAATATAGTTGTTTGTTCGAGTTTGATTTATGTACGTGTTTACTTTCGCTAGGCAGAGTGAGCACCGCGGAGTCGGGCTGCTCGTGAGTCCGGGGATGTTTGGCGGCCGAGCTGTGGCTGTGGGTTCCCCCGTGACGGACCGTGTGGACGGAGCGATCTTCGTGATGAGATCGACTTGTTGAGCGCCGGAGACGTGAACAGCCGGTATGTTTAACGTTGCGTCTGATTTACTGTACGAAATTGCCCGAATTGTTAAGTGTTAATTAATCGAGTAAATGATAGCGCTAATAGTAACTTTGGTTCTAGAATTGCAGCAATATTTATTTCATGTTATGTTCAATGCACGGCTCACAATATGTCGTTTTGTTCGGACATGTCGATTGTGGACGTGATTGTGTACTGACCGGTGCATTGTCTGTGTGTTTGTGTCCGGGCAGTAACGGACAGTTTCGGACTGCCTCGAGAGCTGCAGACGAATAGAGGTCCAGTTGACGGCACAGCGTTTTTGACTACGAGGGCGCTCGGTTTGGCCCACGGCTGAGGCCGTGGCGGCTACAGTTACGGCTGAGTCTTCATCAGCCACGCCCGTCTGCGTCCGTCGGCTTCTCTGCTGCGCTGCGGTTGAGGACACCAGCCCGCGGCCGAGTGAGACTGTCTCCGATCGTGGGTGAGTGATTCTGGCAACGTGCCAGGTCGGAAGGACGATAGAAGCCGGGTGGCCTGTCGCCTCTGGTGACTGTGCGCGGTGGCTGCGAGCACTAGCCCGAGGCTACAGTGGCTCGTGCCCGGGGCTACAGGTGATTGTGCTTCACTGTGTTTGGGGCGCCAGGGAGTAGGGGTCGGTCAGCTCCGCCGTGAGCAGTTGGGCTGTTGATAAGCGATGGACGCCGGGTCTGGGGTGGTGTGTATTGTGTGTGCACTACGCTAGTAATATCGTTAGTGTTTAAGTAGTAGTATTAGTGTTTAAGGTGTGTGTTTATTTATTTGTGATTGCACAGGTTGTGTTATGCGGAGTAGGTGTTTAGAATAGCTGATGTGGCTTAATCCTGGATCCTTGTTCGTAATTCTCCTCATCTTTTTGTCCTCTGCTTTCACAATGGCACCTACCAGGGAAGATTTGAACAGGCTAAAACTGACCGAGTTACAGAGAGAGCTAGAGTCTAGGGGACTTGATATCACAGGTAAGAAGAACGAGTTAGTGGATAGGCTGTTTGAGGCACTGATAGAATCAGAGACGCCCCCTCCAGCGCAGAAGGAAAGTCCTCAAATGCCCCTTGTGGCACCCGAGTCGGGATCTGCGGTTCCTGATGCTTCCCTACTCTTAGCTCGTTTAAGAATTATCCAGGAGAGACAGCTGGTTGAGCAGGAGAGGATTTCAGTTAGGGCAAAGGCAGAGCAGGATGATTCGAGACTTCAGGCTCGATCGGAGCAGTTGCAGATAGAGTTGCAACTTGCTGAAGTGGGTCACTATGACGAAGCTGCCCTTGAGCCCCTGAGGGTTTCTACAGCTAGTCAGGCTCCGCAGTCAGAGTCCGCGAGTGCACTGTCCTCGCAGGTGAGGCGTGCTCTGCTCCCTCCCACGGAGCTACGTCCATTCACAGGTAACGTGGAAGATTTTCGTTTATTTATGAGCGCCTTCGAGGCTCGTGTTGCCAGTAAGACTGATGATCAGGAGGAACTTTTATTTTATTTGGAACAGTTCACTAGCGGGAAACCGAACCAGCTGGTGAGGAGCTGTCTTCATCTGGGTGCTGCTGGATTCGTTGAGGCCAAGCAGTTACTCGAGACGCGGTACGGTAACACAATATGTTTAGTTGACTCATACGTTGAGAAGGTAAAGGGGTGGTCTCGGATCCTACCCGGAGATGTAGAATCACTGGACAAGTTTGTTCTGTTTCTGACGGAGGTAAAGAACGCCGTATCTGGCGTAGCTTTGAGTGAATTCGAACATCCATCAACTCTCCGCCTGATAGTTTCTAAAGTTCCTCCTCACCTGCAGGATCGGTGGCTTAGAGAAGTAGACCGCCTATGCCAGGAGGGGCGCGCTGTCAGGTTTTCCGATTTAGTTAAGTTTTTGGCCGCTGAGGTTCGGGTCAAGAAGAATCCGCTTTTTGGCCTTCGTTCTGCCAATGCTGACCGCCGGCCGGAGGCTCCTGGTGGACCTCGGAGGCACACGGTCAATGTGGCGCACGTGACAGCGCCGGGGGATCAGCGCTGCGTCTACTGTGGCGGTCCCCACAGTGTGGCGGACTGTGAGGTGCTGAGGATGAGGCCGTGGGTCGAGCGGCGAAAGGTCTTTATGCAGCATAAGTTATGTTTTGGGTGCCTAAAGGTGGGGCACCAGGTTCGGTCCTGCCGGCGGCCGCTGGTCTGCGGCGTCTGTGGCGGGCTCCATCCCTCTGTCATGCATGGCGAACCGGGCGGGGGACCGGCACCACCTTGGGTTTCAGGCTCTCGGCCGGATCAGTGGCATCAGCGGCCGAGTCCTCGCGGTAGTACGTCTCAGAGGATGCAGCCAGGTGACATGATTCCGCCCGGCGGAGTCGGGACAGCGGTGGTTCCGCACCGCGGCGGCGCGGGTCCGCCCATGAGTGCGCCGGTGGCGCCGCCTGCTGGTGCGGCGGTGGCGACACCTGTTGGTACGGCGATGGCGCAGTCCGCCGCGGCGGCGGGGTCTGCATCGCGCGGTGGATCCGCAGGCGCTGTTGTAAGTGCAAGCCTTGGACTGCAGGGTGTAGGTCGCACGGCCCTCCCTGTAGTTGCGGTGCGGCTTCGTGCTCCAACAGGCAAAGTGATCGTGACGAATGGTTTTTTTGATCAAGGGTCGTCGGGAAGCTTCCTGACTGAGCGACTCGCAGAGCGTTTGGGAGTGCAAACTGAGCGCACGACCATCTCTATCGAGACCGTGGGTAACGATAGGAGGAGCATGTCCACTTCGATAGCTCCAGGGTTAGAAGTAAGCGCTCTAAACGGCGGTGAGTTTCACCCTCTACCGCCACTATTGACTATTGAAGCGCTTCCGGTCACCCAGGCCGACCGATGTCAGGGAAGTGAGCTAAAGGCTGCGTCCCACCTGGACGGTGTAGAGCTTCACGAGCTGGATGTACCGGTGGAAGTTCTGATCGGTTCTAACTGTGCCGAACTGATTGTGGCGAGAGAGGTTCGTTCTCCTCCCCAGGGCGAGACTGGTCTGTGTGCTGTGCGAACTGTACTGGGCTGGTATGTGATGGGACCGGTCCGGGAAGCCACCGGTTCGGGAGAGAGGTTCACGGTGAACTTTCTGAGGGTGCAGGAGATGTCTGTTTCTGACCATGACGCTGAGGATAGTTTGTACAGGAAGATGTATGATAATGACTTCAAGGATTTGTCTGACGATCGTGAGTGCTTCTCTGTGGAAGATCACGAGTGGCTCGCTGATGTTCTGCCCCGAGTGAGGAGAGATGATGATGGATTTTTTGAGGTTCCTCTCCCTAAGAGGGATTTCGGTGCGCTGCCTGACAGCATGCCGGTGGCGTCAAAGCGTTTGGACTCACTGAGGAAGCGTTTCAATGCAGACCCAAAGTACTTTGACGCGTACAGACGTGTCATTTCCTCACTGGCGGAGGATGGATACGCAGTTCTGGTGCCAGAGGGAGATAATGGGGGTCATCCGATCTGGTATCTCCCTCATCACGGCGTCTTTGAACCGGAAAAAGGTAAACTGCGTGTGGTGTTTGACTGCGCGGCCAAGAGTCGTGGGGTCTGCTTGAATGACCTGTTGAAGAAGGGACCGGTGCTGTCAAACTCCCTCTTGGGAGTACTTTGTCGTTTCCGTGAAGGAACGGTCGCATTCACATGCGACATCCAGTCAATGTTCCATAGAGTCCATGTGCCCATCTGTGACTCTGACCTACTGAGGTTTCTGTGGTTTAAAGACGACAATCCTGACGGTGAGGTAGTCGTGTGGAAAATGAGGTCTCATGTTTTCGGAGCCCTGTCCAGCAGCAGTGTGGCCAGCCTGGCACTGACCTGCTGCGCTGAGGAGGGTCGGCTGCGGCATCCTGAGGCCGCCGACGCTCTGCTTCGGAAAACATATGTCGATGATACCCTTTGTTCCACAAATTCTGTCGAAAGCGCAGTTCAGCTAGCGCGTGACCTGAAAGACTTGTGCAAAAACGGAGCGTTCAACTTGACAAAGTTCTCAAGCAACAGTTCTGAGTTTCTTAAGGAGATCCCTGTCGGTGACAGGGCAAAAAATGTGAAGACTTTAGACCTGGACAGGGACACTCTGGGTACCGAGCGTGCGTTAGGCCTGAAGTGGTCTATCGTAGACGACTCGTTCTGCTTCCAATTCTGCAACAAGCAGAAACCTGCGACAAGGCGCGGTCTGCTGTCGACAGTCAGCTCGGTGTTTGACCCGCTGGGAATTGTCTCTCCGGTGACTCTGTTGGGCCGAGTGCTGCTACAGAAACTGTGCCTGCTCTCCTGTGGCTGGGATGATCCGCTCCCTAGTCCGCTGGCGGAGGACTGGCAAGAATGGCTGGACCGAGCCAGCGAGCTTGACAATGTTCAGCTGAGGAGGTGCACCGTCGGCCCTCCCGGGAAGGTGTTGAACAGTCAGCTGCATGTGTTTGCTGATGCGAGTGAGACGGCATACTCCGCCGTGGGTTACCTGAGAAGAGAGATTCTTACCCCTGAGGGACAGGTCGAACGTTTTGTGACTTTTTTGATGGGAAAGGCACTAGTAAATCCCGTTCGTTTTGTGTCGGTGCCACGACTAGAGCTGGCTGCAGCGGTGCTGGCAGTTAAGGTGAGGAGACTGCTGGTGAGAGAGTTGGATGCCACATTTGATTCATTTCACATGTGGACCGACAGCACGGTGGTCCTGAGCTTCATCCGGAACCGAACCACACGGTTCAAGACGTATGTGGCGAACCGGCTCGCCTACATACATGATGGTTCAGAGGTGGCCGAGTGGGCGCACGTGCCATCCAAGTTGAACCCTGCCGATGTAGGTTCTCGTGGCTGTTATCCTTCAGGTCTGGGACCGTGGCTGAGGGGACCTGAGTTTTTGGATGGTGAGGCTGGTGGCTGGCCCTCAGACCCAGCTGTTCACGCTGAGATCCCTCCGATTGAGGTGAAGTCCGCTCCAGTGACAGTGGCTCTGGTGTCTGCCGGCACCGGACAGAAGGGTCCAACGGACGCTCTAATCAGTCATTTTTCGTCCTTTGACAGACTCAAACGGGCGGTGGCATGGTATCGGAGGTTCTTCTGTGTCATCCGGAATGGTTCATTTCGCAGGTGGTGCATGACCCGCCGAAGGGGGCTTCGGCGGCGTGACCACGTTGGTGAGGCCTCTCTGGTTGTGTCCGACCTGCATGAGGCAGAGCGTGCGATCTTGCGGCACGTCCAGCGGGAACTCCCCGAATTTCCTGGTAGAGACTGTGACGATGGTCCAACTGAAGTGAGTTCGAGTAGTCCTCTGAGAAAGTTACGGCCGACCATGCAGAGTGGTCTGCTGGTGGTTGGTGGTAGGCTGTCTCGATCTGATTGTGTCTCTGAGAGTGAGAAACACCCGGTGATTCTCCCCCGGGATAGTCACGTGACACGATTGGTGATCAGAGAGGCTCACCAGAGAGTTGGTCACGGGGGGAGAGACCACACTTTTTGGGACCTGAGACGTAAGTTTTGGGTCATTGGAGCGGGAACAGAGGTCCGGAGGTTGATCCGATCTTGTGTGGTGTGTAGACGGGTAAATGCCCGTCCCCAGCATCAACTGATGGCTGAGCTGCCTCGGGAGCGCGTCTCGGCAGACGCGCCGGCGTTCTCGTCGGTGATGCTGGATGTCTTCGGACCAGTGTTGGTCAAGACTGGACGGATTGAGCGAAAACGGTATGGACTTATGTGTGTCTGTACGATGACACGAGCTGTTCATGTGGAAATTCTGAGTTCATTGAGTTCTGATTCACTTATCAATGCCATTCGACGCATCAGTGCTCGAAGAGGCCAGATCACCCAAATCCGAAGTGATATGGGAACGAACTTGACTGGCGCCGATCGCGAACTCCGTGAGGCGCTGAGAGAGGTTCGCCAGAGTGATCTGCAGCGCGCAGCGCTGAAGCAGGGTATCGATTGGAGTTTCAACCCTCCCACTGCTTCTCACTACGCTGGTGGTGTCGAAAGACAGATCCGGACGTTTCGTAAAATCTGGCGATCTATGCCTACTCAGCGCGTAGATGACGAAACGCTCAGTACCTTGTTCTGTGAAATCGAGTCGATCATGAACAGTCGCCCGTTGACATACGTGTCGACGGCCTCGGGTCAGGTGGAACCCCTGACGCCGGGTCACCTGTTATTCCTGAGGGGTTGCGTCGGACCCATTCCTGGTGAGTTTTCTGAGGCCGACTCACTGCCGCGCCGCCGATGGCGTCATGTACAGTATTTGGCTCAGGAGTTCTGGCACCGCTGGAAGCGGGAGTATTTGTTATCACTGCAGACGCGACAGAAGTGGACGCGTACTGCCACGAACCTGGGACCGGGTGATATTGTTTTGTTAGTAGATCAAGATGTACCTAGAGGTAAGTGGAGGATGGGAAAGATAGTTAAAGTTTTTCCCAGCCGGGACGGGCTGGTTCGAAAGGCTCTGGTCAAAACGTCTACGTCGGAATACCTGAGGCCAATCCATAAGATGGTCCTGATCAGCACGGAGTCTGATCTGCGGTAGACGTGCAGTGTCCGCGTCCCATTGTGGGTATTGGTTTGAACGGACCTGCAGCTGTAGTGTACGATATGTAGGCAAACATCAGGTGAGTGACTTATGTAGAATTCGTGTAGTTAAGTTTTAGTGGGTAAGTGCAGTGTCCCAACGGGATAATTGTTAATTGTTTGCTAGTTGTTAGATAAGTAAGGCCGTCAGGATGTTGTTTTGAACTGATGCAGCTGTTAGCTCGTTAAGTCCGTAAACCACTGATGGTGATTTGACTTTGATCGGGCGCCGTGTTCTGTTAGTTCGGCCGCCCTTGCTCCGGTCGTCCGAAGGGGGGAGTGTTAATGGCGCCCGCGGTCCGCATTGAATCCCTCACCCTTCCTTTGATGCCACACGTCAGCAGCTCTAGCTGAGTCGGACTTGCACCTCTAGCTGAGTCGGGCGAGTGCCGATGTGGCAGCTGGCCGCGGTCACGTGACCGAGCGTGACCCTTGTGCGGGCCGAGTAGAGGGCGTTGTTTTGTGCCCGGTGTGCTGAGGGGCGGACGTGTGAGCTGGAGCTGCGCGAAATGTAAGTGGATTCTGTATTTGAATTATACTTTGTTCTTTCTTGATATTGCTATAAACATGCTGATCGATTCATTAACGTAATATAGTTGTTTGTTCGAGTTTGATTTATGTACGTGTTTACTTTCGCTAGGCAGAGTGAGCACCGCGGAGTCGGGCTGCTCGTGAGTCCGGGGATGTTTGGCGGCCGAGCTGTGGCTGTGGGTTCCCCCGTGACGGACCGTGTGGACGGAGCGATCTTCGTGATGAGATCGACTTGTTGAGCGCCGGAGACGTGAACAGCCGGTATGTTTAACGTTGCGTCTGATTTACTGTACGAAATTGCCCGAATTGTTAAGTGTTAATTAATCGAGTAAATGATAGCGCTAATAGTAACTTTGGTTCTAGAATTGCAGCAATATTTATTTCATGTTATGTTCAATGCACGGCTCACAATATGTCGTTTTGTTCGGACATGTCGATTGTGGACGTGATTGTGTACTGACCGGTGCATTGTCTGTGTGTTTGTGTCCGGGCAGTAACGGACAGTTTCGGACTGCCTCGAGAGCTGCAGACGAATAGAGGTCCAGTTGACGGCACAGCGTTTTTGACTACGAGGGCGCTCGGTTTGGCCCACGGCTGAGGCCGTGGCGGCTACAGATTGATTATTATTGATTTATGAAAAACGAAGATTTTGGAAAACTATCCCCATACACATAAGTTCTGTAAAAGGTTTGAAATTGCAGTGTGCCTACCTATTTCAAAAAATGAAAGCATAAAGAAGCAAATGCAGCTAGTTTTTTTTCTAATTTTTTATCGGCTAATCTTTTTACGGAGCGAGCGAAGCGAGCGTAGTCTTTCCTTAGATTAACGGAAATTTCTGAGTATGAGCGGCCGGCCGGCCGTGGTCACGATTCTGCGACGCTTATATCTCAGCAACCACTTGACCGATTTACACGCGGTAATTTTTGTAGGGTAGCTTCATTCCTTCTACCAAGTATTGGACTATTCACGATGCATGTGGGTGACCCCTTATGCACGTGCCACGTGCAAAACGAAGAGGTGTCACTTTTGTAATTGTTGCGATATCTCGGTAACTACTTGGCCGATTGCGCTGAAAGTTGGCATGTAGGTAGGTACCCACTAGGCAATGCATATCCATGTGCCAGAATTGGGGTGCTGCTGCACGTGCGCACGTGCAGGGGTCGATTCCAGATCTCGAGAACGGCTGGACCGATGGCACTCAAATTTGGCACGTGGTTAGGGACCGGTTAGTAGGGTGCCGTGCAAAAGTCAGTTGGGACCCATTTTGCACGTGCGCACGTGCAGGGTGCCGCTTCCAGATCTCGAGAACGGCTGGGCCGATTGTGCTCAAATTTGGCACATCGCTAGAGACCGGTTAGTAGGGTGCCGTGCACAAGTCAGCTGGAGGTACCCCGTCGAAATTTCGCACGTGCAAGGCTCACCCTCTCGCTCGCTCCGTTAGTCGCCCCAAAAGGCGTTATACTGGTAGTCTAGCCACCACCCGCAGCCACCACCCGCAGCGTCTCAAGCCACTTTCTGGATCCGCAGTGAACGATTGAGGGCCCTACGAGACCGTTCCAAGAAGACCGTGCTTAGAAGCCCCTTGGAAACCGACCACATAAAGACTCCTCCAGAGACCTACATGACTCCCCAGACTGAATGAGCCCTCCGATCAGGGTCGGTCCCTTGAAAGTTGCTGAAAGGTTTCAGAAGGAAGTATAGGCCCGAAAGTCTTTTGAGGGCTCTCAGAAACCGGCATCGGACCCCAAAAAAACCTGTATGGAGGCCCTCCAAAGCCGGGATGGAGGCCACAGGAGCCGATGCTTAGCCTAAAGAGAGTATGGATGACTGAATAGGGGAAAGGGGGTCTCAGTGTCAGTGGGGCCTTCAGGGGCAAGCGTTTGAGCCCCAAAAGTATGTGTGGGGTCTTAGAGGCAGGTAGACCCCTGGGGTATATGCACGGGGTCCCAGGAGCTCGCGTGTGAGCCCAAATATCCGGCTGGTTGCTACTAGAACCAGCATGGGGATTCTTAGAAGCCGCGTAGACCCACATTTCATGGGTCATGAGTCCCAAGAGTCGATGTAGGGGCCATAAAAGCCGGTGTAGGGCCCATGGCCCCCATAAGTTCCGATATTGAGACTCTCAGAGGCCGGCGACGGGGCATCAAGAGCAGATAAAGTGCCTCAACAAGCCAACATGGGGCCTGAGAATCATTGTGGAATTCTGGGAGCCTGCGTGAGCTCTCGGAGACATTCGTATTTCGTAAGGTCCACAAAGGTCGTTGAGCCCTCTGAATCTGAACTCTGCGGGGCCCTCAGATGCCAGCATGTCTCCTGGCACCTGCCTGCGTTAAGTTGAGGCCCTCCGAGGCCGTCGTAGGGTTCTTCAGAGGCCAGCGTTGGCCCTTGAAGCCTTCGTTAGGCCCTAGAAGCCGTCAAGAGGGCCCTCAGAGGTCAGCATGGCCCCTGGAGCCTGCCTGCGTCGAGGCCCTCAGAGGCCGTCGTGGGGCCCTCAGCCGCCAGCGTGGGCCTTTGGAGCTTCCGTTGGGTCTTAGAGACCATCGTGAGGGTTCAGAGAGGTCGTCGTCAGGGCCCTCAGCCCCTTAGGGACCATCCTGGGGTCCTCAGAAGTTGTCGTGAGGACCCTCAGAAGCCTTCGAGAGGATCATCAGAGGTCGTCATGAGGGTCCATGGCCATAGTGAGAGTCTTCATGGGCCCTCAGATACCTTTGCAGGGCTCTCAGAGGCCTTGGTAAGAACGCTAGAGGCCATCGTTAGGGCCCTCAATAGACCGTTGCAGGCCCCCAGATGCCAGCATAGCCCCTGCAGCCTGGCTGTGTTGGGGCTCTCAGAGGCCGTCGCTGGGCCGTCTGAAGCCAAATGGGCCCTCAGACTTGAGTTGGGTCTAGAGCCGTCACGAGGGCCCTCAGCGACCGTCGTAGAGGCCCTCAGAGGCCAGCGGGGCACCTGGAGTCCTGTGGGACCCTCAGCGGTCGTCATTAGGGCCCTTGGTGGTCGTTATAGGGCCCCAGGGGACAGAGGTCGTCGTGAGAGCCCTCAGGGATCATCGTAAGGGCCCTCAGAGGCCGTCATAGGGGCCATCAGAGGCCAGCGTGGCCCCTTGAGTCTCCTTGGGGCCCTGGAGTCTCTGTGGGACCCTCAGCGGTCGTCATGAGGGCCCTTAGTGGCCGTTGTAGGGCCCCAGGGGACAGAGGTCATCGTGGAAGCCCTTAGAGATCATCATAAAAGGGCCCTATGAGGCCATCGTGGGGGCCCTCAGATGCCGCATGGAGCATCAAACGCGGCTCGGGACACTTCTAGCCGGTGTGGGGGCCCCAAAGACTAGCATGGGGCTCTCCTGACCATAATTGGACATCCCGGATGATTCCACATCAGTGTTCGTTTCCCGATCACTGGTTTTCAGAAGAAAACGTATTGGATGGTGCGACGGGCCTCTTGTACGGATTTTGGGGGTGCAAAAAGATATGTTTGCACCCCCATGTTTTTCGATGGGGGTGCAGCTGCACCCCCTGCACCCCCTATTCCGCCGCCACTGAATTGTATTCTGCAGTCGTCAGCGGGGTATATCAATATTGGTTGTCGGTAGGTATAGGTATTGAATGTAGGTATAGGACTAGACAGCTCGGATGCTGATGCCTATTGCCTACTGGCATTTCTTCGTTCGCACAATTCTACGTTTCGTTGTCATTAAATGATATGGAAGCAGCTTTCCTATTATAAGGAAGCTTTTGGCTCATCTTGTTTTCGCCGGTGTCATAAATCTGAAGCCAATTTACGCTGAATGCTCTAATTTGGAGACTTGGTCGTAGTCTAGCGTCATCTATAACTAAGCATAGTTCCACGCGTAAGTATAGGTGTCGCCACCTCATCGTTTGCTCAAATCCCCTAAAACCTTTATACCTCGAAAACCTATATACCCTGCCTAAAACATTCTACAAGTACAGTCTACACTTTTGCTAACGTTGGTCAGGTGTGCAGGGTGGCTACATGAACCCATTTTTCGGTTTGCGCCTTTCCTTCCAGCGTTAGCAGATGGGCTCTATATGAACTGGGCCCTGGACCCTGGTCCTATACACGGCCTTGGGTCCGGTGACCGGTGCCCGGTGGGACAGGCCATCCAGCCAGCCGCTCAAGTTCAATCGGTAACTAGCTAGAGCCTAGAGAGGCATGCTTCTGGTTCCTTACTCGGTGACTGGTGAGGTGACTCGACTCAGACTGTTCGTCACCGTTCCCTTTTGTCTATCCTCGGAACTATCAAATCCTTCGCTGCGCCTCAAGCACCCTATTCCGGGCTGGACGGTCACCTTTACCCAACGTGAGTCGCTCCTCAGGGGATGCTCACGTATACGGTGAAGTGACTGTTGGCGGGGTGCAGGTCCACGTGGCGAGCACAGCCCCGTCGGTAAACCAGGGTGCCCCCTTGACCAATGTCTCCCCCTAATTCCCATAATGTTCCCGGCTCCCGGCTCCGCGAAGGTCTGCTTAAACTGAACGAAAGGGCCTAACCCTACAAAAAATACAAACAAATAGACCATGACCCTAAGGGCAAGGAAGTGTGGCAAATGATCAAAATAATTGGTCTCGAATACAGAGGGGAGAAGACATGATATTGAGCTGTAACATGAATACGAGTGACAGGTACTACCTATATTTGAAAGTAAGTGACAGCTTGGTATAAATCATCACACCCACGGATCACAAGCTTATCAGTAAATAAATAAGCTAATCAGAGTACCTACATTAGGCTTATCAGAAAAAAAGCTTATCAAAGTAAATTTCAGTCAGCGTGTTGGATCTTATAATAGCTTATACCTCATCATTTTCGGACCCTGCGACCCAATGGAATATGCAATATGCATCCTTGTATCAACTATCGCCGATGTACCGTCGAACTGGCTCCTGTATCTAATGAGGCCCCATGAGTGACCCCAATGTATCAGGTAGGTATACACTATGTCCTTGTGATGTCCCGGATGGCACTTACCTACATATATGTGCATGCAGAATCCAACGGACTCTGCTCTGGTGCTGCCAGTTTTATATTGGATGACTTTCCTGGTCCTATTGAGCACCGTTCAACTTGCACGGTTTGATATTGCTATGCTTCTCCGTTTGAAAAGCCCACCGACTGAACCACGACTCGACATAATGACGCCCGAGACAACGGGATGCGTCGTCCGCTCCTCCGAGCACCACATTGGCGATGTGTTGTGATGCGGACTGGGTATTTTGGCCATTTTACGGTTCGACTCATTTTCACCGGGGTGTCACTTACGCTTTGTTATGCAGCCCATGGTAATACACCTGTAACCAATACAGTTACACTGAGAAGATTAAAGGTTAAACCATCTCACACCGGCTCTAATCGATGATTGATTTGACAGAAACCGGCTCAGATAAGAAGAATCAATCATGTACTCATCACGCGCGGTTAGATGATAGCGTCCCTCCACCGTTTTTCAGGAATGCATTAGTGGGGAGCGGACAGAACACAGGAGTGGCGAGCACCGGCTCCCCGCTCCGACAAGCAGCCAGACCATTAACCACTTAGAGGTGAGTTTACGCCGTACTGCGCCGGGAGCATCGACATGCAACGGTGACTGAGGGACGGGTGTACTAAAAAGTAGCCGGTGTGATTGTGGGTAATAAAACAGCAAACACCTACTCAACAACCTTCGGTAGGGTTTTATTCATACTGCGAGGTCACTAGTTTAACAAAATTTTACCTAAACCTGAATGTCATGGTGTGCGGTTTTAAACGATGCGGCATAGTTGGAGATTTGAGCAGCTGTTGTCTTCGGTATCCCGCAATCGATGAGATTAAATTACAGTTTTAAGTTGTTGATTTATTTTAAGCAGTAAATATTGAACCACTCAAGAACAATGACAGCTTTCTGGACTCCTAAACATACATGTATACGGTCGAATGCAAGTACGAAAAAAAAACGCCGCTGCGCGAGCCACGTAAAGGGAACTACCGCGTTTACTCACTCAAGTTATGCGGTACAGTATACATTCAGGCGCCGACTACTAGCGACATCTATGGAGCGTATGAGCAGCTCTTCCTACTAGCGCAGAAATTGAGACGGCCAGTGTTAATGAGTCCATCCTGATCCGTTAGCTGTTGGTTTATGGTCGTTTCACGACAATTGGTTGTGACAGACTCACATACGTACTCTATATGATGGCAAATCAAGAAGTTTTGCTGGCCGGAAGGCGTGCACGTGAATCCCACCCCATGCTTAGCGAAGTGGTAGCTGAAAAGTCATCAACTGTGACACATCTGAAATTATTTCATGGAATGCTTCAGAATCGGCTCATTTTCCATCGGCCATTGAATAGGGATGTGCACGAACGTTCGTGTTGATGCATTCCAACTATGACACGGTCAGAACGGAGTTTATTAGCGCTATGTAGCCTAGCGAGAAGCCCCTTTTTTAACCACGATTAGTGTGACTCTCGGTTCAAATATGAGCAACTATTGTTCAGTATTGTTATATATATTTATAAAATCTGATGGCCAATACAGGGTGTCTCAAAAGTTCGTTGACACATTTCCCATGCCAATAAAGCATATAAGAGCCGGCCAAAAATCTAAGGTTTTGGTGTTTGTGTGTACACTAGACAAATATGCATGCTTTGACAACTGATTCGGATGGTTGGAAACCACACCCTTTGCTGTATCTCCAAAAATATTTGCCCATACCGATTTTCGTCGCTCCGTCAGCTGCCGGAGGCTGATAAAAGGTTACCACTTACCAGCTTTCAAGCTCTTGTAGGGGAATCCCCTGCAGTTTCTGCGTCGAATTTAGGTTTGATGAGCTCCCCGGCAACATCCGCTTCTCCCTGAAAGCCTCTAGTACCCTCCTGATATCAGGAGGGCACTAGAGGCTGCACACATCAAGACCAAGAACACACTAAACACAAGAGGGGGATTTTATTCGATGGCAGTAGCGACAGCCAGATTATCCTTGCTGACATGGAGCACGATTGTGGGGAACGAATGTGAAATATCGAAATGTCATTACCATGAGTGATTTATTAAAGGGACTATCCCACCTTTAACATGGGGTTTGAGTTGAGATAGCCAAGTTTGCGGCGAGGTTCAGAAACCACTATCTATCTAGGTTGCAACCCCCGCGGCCTCTTGGTGTTGAAGAAATTCGTTCCCTTCATTTGAAAATGGGCCTTGTACAAGGTCCTATCTTCAACATGGAGCGACCGTTAGTGTGACGTCACCTCGTTTAGTCATTCTGATTTAAATGGGTTTGTTCGTTGAAAAATCGCTTAAAACTTGGTCTGAACTTTGTTGTGGTGCCTACAGAGTAAAAAGAATCAGCTTTATGACAGTAATGTGGCCTGGGGAAGGAGGTAATTTTGGGCTGTGACGTCACATATTTGAAAGTTTGTGTTTGGAATATGGGAAGCCTAAGATGTTTAATGAAAAATAAATGCCAGAACCGTGTGCCTGGTCATCCAATCTATAAAGTCGGGCACAATTTAACTGATTTTAACAACATTTTAGAAGGTGGGATAGTCCCTTTAATGCTGTTGTTATTTTAAAATGTGATTTGTGACTTTTGGTATATTTTGTCTCATTTACTGACGATGTCACATTGTTGTCGAAACGTCTAAAATACAAAAAGATTTAAATTTTAATTATCATTTTGGTTACGGAGCGAGCGAAGCGAGCGGAGTCTTTCTAACGGAAATTTCTGAGTATGAGCGGCCGGCCGGCCGTGCGGACGCTTTTGCGAGGCTTATATCTCAGCAACCACTTGACCGATTTACATGCGGTAATTTTTGTAGGGTAGCTTCATTCCTTCTATTTAGTATTGGACTATTTCTGATGCATGCGGGTGACCCCTTATGCACGTGCCACGTGCAAAACGAAGAGGTGTCAGTTTTGTAATTGTTGCAATATCTCGGTAACTACTTGGCCGATTGCGCTGAAAGTTGGCAATTGGCATGTAGGAAGGCACCCACTAGGCACTGCATATCCATGTGCCAGAGTTGGGGTGCTGCTGCGCGTGCGCACGTGCAGGGGTCGTTTCCAGATCTCGAGAACGGCTCGACCGATTGCGCTCAAATTTGGTACACAGTTAGGGACCGTTTAGTAGGGTGCCGTGCACAAGTCAGTTGAGACCCATTTGGCACGTGCGCACGTGCAGGGTGCCGCTTCCAGATCTCGAGAACGGCTGGGCCGATTGTGCTCAAATTTGGCATATCGCTAGCGACCGGTTAGTAGGGTGCCGTGCACAAGTCAGTTGGAGGTACCCCCTCGAAATTTTGCACGTGCAAGGCTCACCCTCTCGCTCGCTCCGTTAGTCGCCCCAAAAAGCGTTTTACTGGTCGATATTTCTAATATGCTGTGCGCTAACTACTTTTCTCAGTAATTCAGCACGGTCGTCAAGCTAGATGTAAGTGAATCCTAATCTATAATCTAAGATTCGGAATCAGGTGAGCCCCTACGATTTGGACCAAACTTGGTCAGTGGATAGTACGTAACGTCCTGATTACGATGCACCCAAAATCTAAGCTCGGCCCGCCATATTTACGAAGTTACGGATGTTTGAATTTCAAGGTCATTCGGGAGAGCCCCTACGATTTCCGTAATAATTTGTGTACAGATACTCTAAATGAACCTCATTACGAATATCACAAAATTTAAGCTCGGCCCGCCATATTTACGAAGTTACGGAGGTTTGAATTTCAAGGTCATTTGGGCGAGCCCCTACGATTTCCGTCAAAATTGGTGTACGGATACTCTAGATGCTCCTCATTACAAATATCATAAAAGTTAAGCTCGGCCCGCCGTATTTTTGAAGTAACGGAGTGACAAAGTTACGGAATTTCAAGGTCATTGGGAGAGCCCCTCCGATTTTCGTCAAAATTTGTATGCGGACACATTACATGCTCCTCATTACGAATATCATAAAAATTAAGCTCGGCCCGCACTATTTCAAAAGTTACAGATGTTTGAATTTCAGTGAGTTTCAAACCTCAGTAACTTTTGAAATAGTGCGGGCCGAGCTTAGCTTTTACGATATTCGTAATGAGGAGCATATAATGTGTCCGCATACAAATTTTGACGAAAATCGGAGGGGCTCTCCCAATGACCTTGAAATTCCGTAACTTTGTCACTCCGTAACTTCAAAAATACGGCGGGCCGAGCTTAACTTTTATGATATTTGTAATGAGGAGCATCTAGAGTATCCGTACACCAATTTTGACGGAAATCGTAGGGGCTCGCCCAAATGACCTTAAAATTCAAACCTCCGTAACTTCGTAAATATGGCGGGCCGAGCTTAAATTTTGTGATATTCGTAATGAGGTTCATCTAGAGTATCTGTACACAAATTTTTACGGAAATCGTAGGGGCTCTCCCGAATGACCTTGAAATTCAAACATCCGTAACTTCGTAAATATGGCGGGCCGAGCTTAGATTTTGGGTGCATCGTAATCAGGACGTTACGTACTATCCACTGACCAAGTTCGGTCCAAATCGTAGGGGCTCACCTGATTCCGAATCTTAGATTATAGATTAGGATTCACTTACATCTAACTTGACGACCGTTAATTCAGCTAGCAATTCTTGTGTTGTGTTCAAAAAGATGTTTACAGTGAGGGTCGAACTTGAAATAACAACGAACTATAGTTACCGTGTATTTTCATATTTATAGCAATTTTAATATGAAGAACAAATGACAATATAGTTGCATGTGTGGAAATAAGGTACCTACTCGTTCCCTTTTCTTTTGTTTTATCATTATCACACCAGTGCAAGTGTGACTTAATGTCTGTATTTCTGTTTTTTGCATTGTCAGAAATAACGTAACGTGGCTTCTTTTTTTAATGCCTCGCCTTTGACACATTTTCGCCAAAAAACAACGAACATACATTGCCTCCGGTTGTTAAAAAGTCTTACAAATTGTATGGTCTCTGTTCATGTAATTATACAATTAAAATAATTCATCACACTCATTGAATAAATACATTGTGACGCTGTGGCCACGTCATGTATATGGCTCCGCCCTGCCGCGCGGCTGGCGTTATCATCTGACGTGGCGTCACGCGGCGGCTCACGTCAGCGGACGTCATCACAGCTGTGTCACTGCCACCATCGACGATCCAGACGCCTGGCTCGACGGTACACCGCCTCCTGGAGTCGCTGGCCGGCGCCGAACCTGAGGACAGGCGACGGCTGTTAGTTATACGGGCGGAAAATGTCAGAATATTTTGTGGATGCTTATGCTGGATATTTCATGGATTGATGCACTCTTTTAGTTACTTTGTCGCTGTGCGACTAAATGCGTTGGTTCGCTGCAAGCTTTGAAGGAAGTCATTTATTTACCGAGCTATATCAGCAGTGTATCTAGAGAGCACTTATACGTGCTTACGAATCCCACTACGCCAAATAAGCCGCCGAACATGCAAACTACAACAATATTATTCACTCAAGACACTGTCTGCTCCACCCCTCCCCCGCGCAAAGATCAGCCATGTCCGCCATCCCACCCCCTTCCCACCCAGTCATGTCCACCATCCCCCCCCCCCCCCCACACACACACTCATGTCCGCCACCTTCCGTAGGTAGGGTAAGGGCGGGTAAGAGTACGCGGGCGATAAGAGTACGCATCAGCTGTTTCGGTTGCTTAGCAACGCGGGTTTGTCGAGTTCATGAAGTGACATGAATCCGCCAGTGCGTGCATGTCACCAACGGAACGTGGGCGTTGAGCGGCGACGCTGTTGAGTTTAAGGCGATGAATATTATTTTCGAGCGTTATGATATTATTATGATATGGTACAATAATTTTGATACTTGGCAGTTGAGATAAGGTACATTTCCGTGATTGTTGTGGGAAACTTGTGAGGTTATCTGGGGAAATACTGTACAGTGCAATATTCTGTTTGCGAAGTTTTGCACAACGTTTCGGGGTTGTTTTGTGCGCGAATTGCATGTACGGTAAGAGGACGCACTGTTCAGGAGGGTAAGAGTACGCAGAATTATACATTAAATCGAATATACAGAAATATAGAATTATTAATCTATCGCTCAATGACGTTTGTTTTGTAGGTATATCATCAATGGAGCACTGTGATGTAGATGCGTACCCGAAATTCTTCCAAATACGAGATATTCTCCTTTTTGATTGTGCATTTTTTTAAGAAACACACGACATGATTATTTCCTGATTTATAGACTTGAAAGATTTATTTTATGTTTTTCTTTTTGGATACTAGAATTAGTTTAAATGCCTTCTGAGTTTGAAGTTAAGCATTTGGACAGTGCAAGCTGCATAGGTGTGTGTTCAGATGCTTGCGTACTCCACCCGCCTGGCGTGCGTACTCTTACACACCCCATATGGTAAGAGTACGCAAGTGCAACGGTTCATAAAATGTCAGTTTTAGACCACTTCCATTTACGCTGAAGGATCGTTGCCCCATGGGTTGCTGGCTAATTCAATGAACTTTAATATTCCCTATTTGCGATTTCTTTCCTTCAAATATTAAACAAATGAGAGCAAGAAATCCACTAAGTGCGTACTCTTATACGACTTCACCCTACCTGTCAAGCAGCGCTGTGTCGGTGTGCTTTCGGCCATCTCTCTGTAACCTCTGGGAAATGATCTCCAGCTGCGATCGGCGAGTCTCTCCGTCCCCGAGCCAGGCCGATCCGTAGTCGGCAAACCTTCCGATCTTTTCTCCGCCGTACCGTCTTCCCGTCTTCCCAAACCCGCTCAATGCCATCCTAAACGGTATCCTCTCGTTCTCCATCATTGGATCAACATCGCTTTCTAGATTGTACTCCATATACTCTCCACTGCCGTCTCTAGAACCTTCCTCAACATCTGCCAGTCGGTCGACGGTCTCGACGGGGCTGTCCTCCACGAGCTCGGTGAAGCGTCCGACCCCCAGAGGTGGCGATTCGGCACCGATCTCTGTATGTCGTCCGATGTTGAGATGAGGCTCGTCCTCTGGTCTTATCAGGAGGTCAGAGTTCGTGATCGCCTCGTCGCTGCTCTTTGTTAGGCTGGTGATTGAGTCGTTGAGAGTCTGTTGCTCCGGAGTCGGATCGTCCTCGGATTTTTCGGCCTCTTCAGAGTCGGTCTCTCCAGACGACTCCATCTGCGGTTAAAAGTCCAAATCATTAGTACAGAAGCGAAGACATTTTGAATGTGGAAACATTTTGTTTTAAAACGAAACGATATCTTATACTATAACCGTATGTAGAGATTCATTCATTCATTCCGCCTTTATCGCTATAGAAGCATCACTGCTCGAGCTGGGACGAAGGCGATGCACCTACCATGACGTCGTCGTCCTCCGTCGTTTCCTCGGGCGGCAGGGCTGTCATCTTATGCACGGGCACCGCTGTCCCCCACAGTATCAACTTCAGCTTCTGCAGCTCACCGTAGTTGTCCTCAAACGTCTGTGGCACACAGAGGCCGGTCAGTGGCTGAAGAATTTATAATAACGACATGAGTAGCTGCTATCTTTGAGGCGAGTTAACCTTCGCCCCAGTGGGGGGGGGGGGCATATGTTACCACCCTGTCGCGTTTTTTGCGTGTGAATAAAAAACCGCGGCGCGTAGCGCCGCGCCACTTGGAGTAGCTTTTGGTACATCAATTTTGGACAATGTGTGAATTTTTTGACCCCAGGTCATGTCAGGTCAGGTCACCAGGTTAAGTTAACTGACCAAGCCTAAAAAAAAAGTTTGCAATCATGCCCAGCCTGCAGTGTTTGTCAGAAAGGTTTTAAACTTGGTGGATTGCATGCTGTTATGGGCGCCTACAATTTGTATATCTCGGATTTTTTATATCCGTGACCTAAGGTCAGGTCAGTGGCGTGACCTTTCCATTACAAGTCAATGGGGAAAAATGAAAATGCCTCTAGATCCGTGTGTACGCATCGGAACAGTCCAAATATTTCAGAATCACAATGGTTTAGTCCACTCGTGATGACCAAGGTGTCATTTTTGCTGATAGCCTCTAGAAAGGTCATCCGAGGTCACTTGAGGCTACAAACAGTTTTTTTGCCAATAACTCGCGATTGGAAAGAGATAGAACGCTGGGGATGGTCTCATTGTGTTTGTCTTGTTGAGACGCATCGACTGATATGCAACATGACCTTTTCCGGTAAGGCCATGACCTTGACCTGAGGTCAAATTTTCAAGTTGACCTTTCAAGGTCAAATTATAGTTCATTCGACGCGTCTCGGCAAGAGGAACACGATTCTGGCAATAGAAATGTCGTGGCGTTTTGTAGTCGAAAGTTATTGTCGAAAAACACTTTTCGTAAAAACAGCTATTTTCGGAGTTTTTGCCCTCTGGAGGCTAAACCGTTGACCTGAGGTCAATATTGATTTGACCTTTTCAAAAGAAGAGTTCAAAAGCTATCGATTGCTTTTCTATGCGTTTTTCTAGCTACCATAGTTTGTGAGATAGCGGCATATTTTATGAAAAATATAATGAGAATTGGCAAATTTTGACCTTTGATGACCTCTGGTGACCCCAATATTGCTCTAAGGTGAAAAATGACCGAAATACTTTCAAACGTACGCATTGAGAGCTATCGAGTGCTTTTTACCGCGTCTTTCTAGCCCTCTTAGTTTTTGAGTTAGAGGTGGGTGGTAACATATGCCCCCCCCCCCCCCCGACTAGGGCGAAGTTGGCTGAGACCGCCACTGGGGCGCGGGTTAATAATTCTGCAGTGGTATTTATATTGACTATTCAATTCGTGAATGAAAAGCTCTGAATGAAAATGTCCACCTTCTGTCATTATTTACTATTTCATTCCATTCTGAGGCGTTGCAGGGCCCCTTATCTCAAACATCCGCCCATTTCCAGTCTACTGACTCTCAAATCAGCTCAGCCCAGTGCCGCGCTCAGCTGAGAGATGTCAGGAGTACTTACATCGTCGCGAACCTCGAGCATCCATTTGCCGTCGGGGTTTTCGCCACAGGTAGCGACCGACATCAGCTTGAAGCCGTCAAAGCCGTCAGCTGAGTCGTCCTTGCGCCGAGGCCTCAGTATGGTCACGGTAGTGCCTGCCGGGTATCGAGTATTAGAGTGGGATTGTAGTTGTTGACCGTACCAACTGTACTCACTGACGTACTTGTTACTGAAACTTTGTAATTTATATGCATCAGGAATCGTGAGTTTGATGTTAATCTGGACAATCGTAATCCAAGGCAATGTTTTCATTGTCTTGAATTCATTTATTTTATCTCACAGAGTCGTCGACGGAATAACCCATTGAAAGTCGAAGTCATTTCCGAAATCGAAATATGAATGAGCAAGTTAAACTCTCCGGCCACCGCTCGTGACTGCCGCACCGCTACATAAACGTCACACATAAATTAACGATATATGAGCACCTCACAATTAACACACACATGTAGACTATAAGTAGCCGTACCCTGTGGCGAGGTGAGTCGCATTCGGAGCGCCCCACGTCGGGTGTAGTTGAGACTGAACACCAGTTCGACGTGCTCTAGGTGACGGATTTGATACGGCCCGTCACAGCGGGCAGAGAGCGTCACCGTCACGGGGCCCCGCGAGCCCAGACGGCGCCACTCAGCGCTGTGGGGAGAGAGAGAGAGAGAGAGAGAGAGAGAGAGAGAGAGAGAGAGAGAGAGAGAGAGAGAGAGAGAGAGGGGAGGGAGGGAGGGAGGGTTGGTGATAATAATTTCAAAGTGTGAATTTCGAAGATGTTGGAACATTCGATTGACCCTTGTTACATCTTTGCATCCTGGCGCATTTATTCGTAATTATAACCCATTTTTTAATTACTTTATGATGGGATCGTGCCTAAAAATGTCTACTAGCTCGGTGAAAAACAACTCAAAGCTACGTTAGGTGGGGTGTTGAAAAGTGTCTCACCTCTGCTCCCCTGGGGCCTGACAGAAGCGTCTGATGGCGCTGGCCGACTGGGAAGAGTTCCACGTCCTGGCCCCGGCCACCAGAGCCGCCGCATCCATCAGGCCAAAACCCACCCTGCGGAGTACGGGTAAAAAATGCGGGTCACTGCTGGCCTCGCCGGCCCCCAAGGGCACAGACGGATCACTGACCTCACCCCAGAGGGCACGGATTGAAGGGCACGATAAATCGATCAGACTAACCTATCAAGGATCATATGTGCGATGACGCTTGGTCTCGACTTATCTGCATTCAATATAGAAAAAGAAAAAACTATTGACAACCTCTAGCAGCGTATTTTCTGTGAAAATCGTGCTGAGAGCGGGCGGGCTCACCTGGTGCTGTAGCGCAGACCGATAGCGTTTGACACCCACTGGCTGTTGGCTCTGAGTACGGGTTCGGGCCGAGAGGTGTAGACGACCAGGTGCTGAACGTCCCGCCAGGTCAGCTGCGGACTGGGGGAAAGATGGACGGGTCCCGCCTGTCACACGTAACCCTAGCGTGAGAAATAGTGGGTATATGTGAGAGGATATGTGTAGGTAGACGTTATTGCAGCGTGGCTGTCTAGCATCTTGCTTATAAAGATGTTTGATTTGTTAGTGCTTGCGGCATTGACAGGGCTTATGCACTGCCAAACTTCTGCGCTATAGTGTTCCCGAGACGCGGGCTTAAAAAGGGCTCTGTTTTGGCGTAATGTTTGCTTTATTTTGATTAGTAAAAAACAATGGCCTGTCATTCGCTATTGCCGCATAGAAGTTTGCATTCAATTAAAGTGTTTGAAGTTTCCATCAACTTTGCGAAACGCGCTCCAATATTCTCGGTAGGAAGCTGTCTGATACATTCCCTGCCCCTCTCCCCCTGTCTGCTGCGCCCATTCAAGCTCTACCGGCTCAAACTGTACCTAAGGACGGCGGAAGTAGGTATGTACATACAGCAGGGTGACTTTGGCACTCACTTCACCTCCAGCATCAGGGCCACCATGCTGGCTGCCATCGGCGCAGAGGCGGACGTCCCAGAGAAACCACTCGTACATCGGTCGTGCATGGCAGTCGTGATCTGGCGGCAGTGCGTGCAGATCGTGCAGATAAGAGTTCGGTTATCTGGTAGTGTATGAATGAACGAGACCAGAGCGAAACAAAGAAAGATACTGTAATCCGTGTGTTGGATACGGAAAGAAGTATCTGACAGTGTTCTAAGAGCTTACATATTAGCGTCTTGTTTTGGCGTCGTATTGCTTGGTGAAGAAAATGAAAATGGTGTCCACTTCGGACATCCCTGATCCCTCTATAAGCCCAATTAATCGATCCAAGCCTTTCGATGACAATAAGTGACTCCAATTCAACAACACGGCTAGTTGGTGGAATACGTCGGGGATCGAGCTCTACAAGAAATCACCAGAATCATCTTCGACCACTGCTGCTCTATCTGCTTTTGTCGGCGTCTCGCCCTGCGCTCTCACCACGTTGTTGGGATGGCCGACCGTGTAGGTAACCGCCAGAGTCGACGAGCAGATCTCTCCATACCAGGGCATGCGGCCCTCCTGATCCACACTGCCCACGGACAGGGTGAACGGGCTGGACGCGTAGCCGTCACACGCGCAGTTGTCGTCGGCGGCACCGCCTCCGTTACCGCTCGCCCAAACCAGGATCACTCCGCGACCCTGGCGGCCCTGTCGAATGGAAGATGGCGATGATCGGCATGAGAGTTGTGGAAATGATACGTGGTATAGGCAGCGTGATTATGTGACAAGAGTGCTTTCCTCGATTGATATTGCTCATAGTCGTATAACATGACATGTTACAAGCATACACAATCGATTTCGGTGGGCAATGGGCATGTGTGATTTCCTCTCGTAACCTATCGTCTTTTCTGTGTTATGGGCAAAATGCTCGTCCATGTATCCGTTTCCAGTTTTTCTAGACGTTCGTTCGAGTCAGGTTGGACTCCAACCCGCTCACCTCTTCGATGCAGGTCTCGATGGCGTCCTGGAGTAGCCTCCCGGGCATGTCGGCCACGTAGCCGCTGTCGGTGGGTCCCCAGGAGACGGAGATGACGTCGGCTCCCAGGCAGGCGGCGCTGAACGCCTCGCCCTCGGTCCGGTCTGTGATGACACCGTCCAGTAGACGCACCGCTGCCGAGGGGGAACGAGATGTGAGGGGCGACTGGAGAGAAATGTGCAGAGAGTGAGGTGGGAGGTCTGTCATAGAGAGAGGCTAGGGGGAGAGCAATACATTTTGCTATTTTCAGGCAAAGCAGTAAACTAAACGTCTCATGTGACCACTGGTCACACAGGAACTGGCTTCTTTTTATGTGACAATTCACCCCTCTGTGTTTCAGTTGTCGCCTTTCTGCTAAATCCTATCGGAAATGTAACTGATCTGGCCTCCCACATCCATCACTGATTGGGACAAAAAGTTGTCTTTTAGCCTATCGGGTGGCTTATTTTTTCCTGCAGTCAGTTCCGTTCTTGTCTGTCCGGCTCTCGTTAGGTTATCTTGGTTTTCACACCTCGTCGCCACTCACCACCGAGTCGTGCGCCCGTTGCCATGCCGACGCCGCAGAAGTCGTTGTTCGGCTGCATTGAGACAATTCCGGCGCACTTTGTGCCGTGTGCGTTCGTGTCTGTATCGTCGTAGCGTGGCGAAGGGTCCCGGTCGCCGTCCACGATATCATAGCTGAGACTCGGGTCCTGGCGGATGACATATGACAGGTAGATCAAAATGATGGGTGCCTTTTCTTTCAGATGCAAGCAAAGTTTAGTAGTTTAGTAGTATAACGCGAGCGCAGATGACCTTATGATTATGACCCACGCACAGCCCACAGACAACACTCACGAGAGATCTCCCATTCACAAAGAATTAAATTATCAACTTCATATCTAATCGTCACGCATCGCTTCCCGTGCCAATCCAGACTCTACAAACCCTCGCTTCGGCAGTCTCGTTTCTGTCATATCGAATAACAGAGCTTGCTGTTTCCACTCGGTGATCGAAGCTATCCGCCTTCCGCGTAACTCACGTAGGCGTGTGCGATGTCCGTGTGGTTGTGCTCGACTCCGTCGTCGATGATGACGACGCCCACGCCGCGTCCCGTGACGCCCTGTTCCATCACCTCCAGCACGTTCATGGTGTTGTGGGCCGCCTGAGAGCCGACGCTCCTCGGCCGAGTGTTTCGGCGACTCTGCCGCGGGCGCAGAGATTAGGCGTGGTTAGCCGAGGTCAACCACGGGGGCACATCCATACAAAGACACACAGAGAAAGAGAGAGAGAGAGAGAGAGAGAGAGAGAGAGAGAGAGAGAGAGAGAGAGAGAGAGAGAGACGACAGACAGACAGACAGACAGACAGACAGACATTGAGAGAGAAAAAGAGAGAGAGAGGGAGGGAGGGAGACAAACAGCGAGAGATAGAGGGAAAGAGAAAGAGAGAGAGAGTGCGAGAGAGAGAGAGAGAGAGAGAGAGAGAGAGAGAGAGAGAGAGAGAGAGAGAGAGAGAGAGAGAGAGAGAGAGGCGACCATGGCGACTGGTTTCTGTCTCTGGCGGACCCAGACACAGTGGTGGGACGTGGACGATACTGAATACTGATAGTGTCCACTGCTGGCGCCTGCCACGCGTCAGGCCTGGGACGCTCAGTCACCTATATATGGTGCCTATACGGTCCCCTGCTGTCTATTTAGGAAGCGTGATGTCCCGGCCTAATGTATACCTATGGGTAAATCATCCAACCATAAGATAATTCATGCCCACACCATGTAAAAAAAAAATACATCCTCGCATATAACACCTTTTACCTTATAATCGTCACCAAATGCCACTTTGATTCACCGACTTTAGTATCGTATAGATCAATAAAATGACAATGACCAGCGTAGTTATAAATACAATTTCACAAACGAGTTGGTCAGACTGGAGTCAGTTAGCACGGTGCTGACAGGGTAATCGCCACGCACTTTGTATGTGGATCGCTCTTAAATGTAAATACAAATACAATATGAATTATGAGCTCGTTTACTCACGATGTACCACTCGGCACTCCAGCTGGGATCGTTATAGTCGACGGGCTGTGCTCGCTTCGAGCGCTGCTTGCTGAACTGCTGCTCCACCCACAACACCTGAAACATGTCCAGCAGGATGTACTGTAACTTTAACTTCACTGTGTGTCTACTTACATGACTGGGATGAAAGTGAGACGAGCATTTACCTCGCCAGTCCGTGTCAGTCATGTCTCTGTCGGACATTTGACCTCTTAGCCGATGCTTCAAATGTAAAAATAATGCTATTGCCTTTGAATCACCGTTTAATCAAATACTTATGCCCCATGTCAGCATCAAATAACGAGGTCCTGAGACATTTTAACCACTCAGACAATGTCAATTGTTTTCATTTGGTGTTGCATGAAGAGCGATGACATTTAGTCGGTCGTACTTGACGGGGTGTTGGATCCACTCCACTGCGGGCGTTCCCCAAGAGCCAATAAGGCGACTCATGTATGAAACCTCCGATCCTACACTCCCACGTCCTCTTGCGGTGCTATTTCTGCGCCGCTCTGCCGCTGACCGGCCGTCCTGGTCAGACGGGGTCAGGTTGCAGCGGCTGCCGCCCCGCTGCAGCGTCCGTCGCTCCTCGGAGTCGGAACGGAGGGTGGTCTCTCCGCGAACCGCCCACCACCGGCGTCCGGCTAACCCGCACCGGACCCGGCTCCGCGCACTGGGGTTTCTTGGGTAGACGCGTTAATCGGTCAGAACCGGAAAATCTTAAAAGGTAGAGAGGGCAACGGCCTAATTGCCCGTTGATTTATCCGTTCGCTTAAAAGAGCTGCTGGCGTTTAGCGATGCGTTTAAACAATGGCAGGCCAAGTTCTGGCGTTTTTCCTTCTTTTTTGATGTTGATAGAAAATTGCTTTAAACTAATTGCAAAACTTTTGCCTAGGGAAGTAATTGTTCCATGACAGGTCGTCACTGGAATGAAAACTATTGCTGTTCTTTTAGAATTCGTCTAATTTCATTTTTTTAGGAAATTTGTGCTCATTTTTTTATTTTAGGTACATCTGATTTTCATTATTCCCGTGTACGCGTTTTTCCACTAATATCTTTTGAGTCTTATGAACTACGCATCTGTCTCTCACGCATCACTCTCCGCACATTTAGTTAACTGCATATGATAAAGAATGAATAATAACCATAAATGTAACAAGGTCATGCGCTCCTACTCGCAATATGTAATGTGAACCCCATTCAAATAAATCTGATACTCGAACATGCAAACCTATTCAGATTACCACTAACATAAAGACAATCCGTTATTCCTGACGATAATACCGGGAGTTCCTAAATAAACAGTCGAATTATTTTTGCCTCAAGTGGCGTCAACTAACAAAATCACACCAATCAAATTGCACGTGATGATAGCACGTGCAATGCCATTTTATTTCATACCAAAATCAATCACTTTCCATCATGCAGCCGTATAGTACAGACATAAAAACAAAAATAGTACATTTCTATTTTGAGACAAAGTCAATCGTTGCAACACAACGTAAGCTACGGCGACACTTAAAAAGGACCCAAGTGCCATCAAGAACCGTCATTTTAAGTATAGTTGAGAAGTTTTCGGCAAGAGGTAGTGTGGAGAACGTAAAAAAGGGTAAATGTGGCCGAAAAAGAACCAAGAGGACGCCTCTAAACGCCCAAAAGGCACGAGAAGCCCTCCAGAGGAGCCCACAAAAGTCGCTCAGACGGCTGGGCCAGGAACTGGGCTGTAGCAAAACCACCGCTCACCGTTTGGCCAGAAACGACGTTCAGCTGTTCCCGTATAAGGTCTCCGTTCACCAAGCACTGTCGAAAGTCGACAAACAGTCACGGCTTCTTTACAGCGGCTGGTTTTTGAGAAATTGCGAGCAGGGCAATGAGTTCCTTCACCGAATCTGGTTCAGCGACGAGGCCCATTTTCATACGGATGGCCGCGTGAACTCCCAGAATTTTCGATTCTGGTCGACGGAGCCACCCGATTTGGTCGCGGAAGCCCCTCTGCACAGTGTGAAGTGCACAGCCTGGTGTGCAATGAGCAGCAGTGGCATAATCGGACCTTTCTGGTTTGAGAACGACGCTGGGGAGTCTGTCACCGTCAACGCTCAGCGCTACCGGCAAGTCCTAGCCAAGTTCTGGACTGCGCTGAACAGGCGGCTGGGTGGAGACAGGCAGCTGATGGACCAACAATAGTTCCAACAAGACGGAGCCTCGGCGCACACGGCCGTTGCGACTCGAGAATGGCTGCGGAACCGATTCGGTTCGCGGGTTATCTCCCGCAGAGAGGTGCGGACCTGGCCCCCGCACTCTCCGGATCTGACCCCACTTGACTTCTTTCTCTGGGGTCACCTGAAGTCACAGGTCTACAAAAGCAACCCCAGAACCACAGATGACCTCAAGAGGGCCGTGTCGTCCGCGGTGCGCCGAGTGCGGCCGGAGATCTGCCGGGCTGCGGTGGAGTCCGCTCGGCGACGCGCAGAGCTGTGTGTGGAGCGAGAGGGGGCTCATCTGGAACACGTCCTCTGTGGCCGCAAATGAAAAGACAGCAAACAGAAGATGGTATCACGTGAAATGGCATCGACTATTGTGTATGTAAGAAAGTGATTCGTTTTTGTCGTGCCTTCCATGCTGATAATATACAGCTTTTAAATACGACTGTTTATTTAGGAACTCCCGGTATCTTCATATAAGAAGCTTGTGGCATACGTTTCTCCATACAATGCTTATCCACAGACGCACACCCTTCACCAACAGCTGATCGTTCAGACGGTGTGTCGAGTGTTCTCAGTGTCACTGAGGGTCGAGGGCTCTCCGAACCGACCTTGGGGTGGGCGGACAGGGCATTGGTGATGTGGTCGGCCGCCTCGGCACTCGACTCAGGGTGATCGGTCTTAACGAGCCGGTATACGTGGCGGAGACCCTTCAGCTGAAACAGAGACACATAAGGCGACGGCTGTCATCCAAAGAAAGGAGAGATCAGAGAGCCGCGGCGACTAAAACAAATGCACAGGGAGGAAAGTATCCAACTAGTTAATTTGCCCATGCTCGTATAAAATAAAGAGCACATGATACACTTAATTGCAAAATATTACTGATGGGAAAAAATATCATTTGTCACAATAGCGCTCAGTGTATTTTCAATAACAATTGATGTGGCTGAAACTTTTCATTCTGTAGTGCAACCACCGTTATCATGAGGCGCACCCGTAGTGTTTAGGGTAGATGGGTAAAAATAGCCCGAATCCTCACCCCGGTGAACACGGGTATCGCACCAGCCTTTGCCCACGTGCTGGATGACATTCTTAGCTGCTGCAGCGATAGCGCTGCACGTATCAGAGCGGTCACAGCAGAATCAAAATTAAATTTCACCCCACCGTCAACACGTGCCCTCAAGACGCAAACACGGCTTGTTTGAGAGCTGGCGCGCTGCACAAGCGGTAATCAGTACACCTCTCCCTTAGCGAAGGTCGCCAATATGCATCGAGCGGCAAGCGCGCAGAAGCCGCAGATACGAAACTGAAAGGCTAGATCACGCGTATGAATGGCAGATGATTGTGATAGAAGGCAAATGCAACTTAAATGTTTTTTCATCAAAACTTATTTCTAGCAGCATTTTTCCATTTTCCTGGCTGAGCAGTGAGCACGCTATATCATCACTGGTAATTTGTATATAAGTATTATCGGTTCAGTTGCACTGTGGCATGGCATGAGACATGAGTCATGACAGGAGAATCGCCTTAGAATATCTACCTAGCTTTTAATCGGCGATAAGGTACGGTTGAGGATTACACTTTGATGTTCACGTATATTTTTGTGCCTGCTTTTCTTGGACCACGGGCATTGTTTTGCGCTCACGCTACTTGCCTAGACAGACCAATGCGGAACACCGGAGCTCGGGACACATGTGAAACTGTGACACACAGTCGCTGAGTGGTGACCCCATACCACACGTGTCTGTATGTCTGTCCGTCTGTATGTGTGTGTGTTTTATCGGTCAGCCTGTGCGACTGTGACGCCGGTGTCTGCTTACCATGATTGACGGCGCCGGGCGGTAGCGGAGTCGGGTTCCGCGGCCCGTCGCCCGCGCTGTGTGGCCAGGGCCTGATTGTGTGCGCGGGCAGGTCGTGACCTTGATCAGCCAGAAGGGCAGGTAGCCCGACCTAGGCCATGTTATCAGCCGCGGAGGATCGTTACACAATACACAATACGCATTACATATGCCGTGCCGCCGCTCCCGAGCGCGGCGTCGGACGACTTGGAGGTATACTGTACCGCGCTACACCGGAGCTGTGCGGTACAGCCTAACCTCCAGTGGCAGACGTCGGGTGCACTGCCGTGCCGCCTCGTTCGCTTTGACTCCGAGGCTGCAGTTTGCATGATCGGTTTGAGATTGTTTCTGCACTGGTTTACACATTTATATTACTTGAATTAGTATGTTTCTTGCCCTTTCCTATGCCTCCCCATTTTCACCACTTAGTTTTAACATTTGCTTTTGTTGATAAACGTAACTGCAGGAAAGAGTTTATCATGTCGATGGTCAAGCTCCAAACGTTTTGAGCTTCTATTCTTTGACAGCTGGTATAACCTGTTTTTCAACATATTTTCCTTCATTAGAGCGAAATCAAGTTGCTCATACCTTTTTTCGCGGCGACTAATCGTCTCATACCTACCAAGCAGCCGGTGAAACCAACAGCGGAATTCGTTATCATGTGATACAAATACGTGCGGGGATTTCATGGGCCGCACCGCGTCACTCGTAATGTGAAGTGTGATGCATATGCACTAAGCAAGCTGCTTTTCGAAAGTATTTGAAATGCAATGGCTATAGCCGCCGGTATTGCATTGTCCAACAATATCAATCCATATAAAAGTTATCGTTGTCACAAGTCATATTTGTACGTTTGGTAACTATTTACAGAATGTAGTCCTATTCCTCTCACATCTATCTATGATTGATACAGCATGACTCTCAGTTTATATTAGTGCGACTTCGCAAAGAATATGTAGCTTCTGTAGAACCTACATTCTGGGTATATCTCACCTCTCGGCTCTCCTAGTAGTGTGGAAAATGTAATACAGCTGGCTTGATTAGATTTGGCTACGTCTCAGTTCAGCTAAGATTAAAATGTGATTGATGATGTCTTGTTTCAGTCTCTTCCTAGTGGATTTGCGGAAGACATATACGTCCTGAGTTACTCTTCACTATCGCTCAACAATGTAAATGGGCTATCTTCTCTGGCTTCATTCGATTTTGTGAATCATTGCGCTAGCAGTTAAGTATTATCACTTATCACTTATCCAAGTTCGTCTATATGAATATCATTTTTGACAAAATATATGTACGCTTCTGTGCGCGAACCATTACGCTAGAAGTTAAGCTTTCAGGAGCCTTTTGTAATGAATTGACTTGTTGACATATAATTTAACGTACCCAAATCTCAAGTGCAGTAAGTCTCTCTCAAGGCATCGCACTGAATCCGTACATGACATGTTAACCCTCGCCCATGTAGGGGGTGCAACCCCCTGAGGTTTTTCTTAGCTACACGCCGAACCGTTTCAGAGAGCCTGCTCAAATTTTCAGTACCCTTAGGGGCATCCTTTGCGCAACTTTTGGTATTTTTTTGTCAAGGTCATGTCAGGTCACGGAGTTATGACGTCATCAAGGGAACAACCTCCGGCCAGATTTACGCTAAATTGGAGATTGCTTCACATTGGTATAAATGCCGACTGACCTGACACACTGATGGATTGTTTTAGAATCACAACTGGCTGATTTGACATTGGCACAATGTCCTTTGACATTTTTAATGTTACTAAAGGTCAAGGTAAGGTCAGTGACCTCGGTTGACCTGTAATGACTTCTTGCACTTGTATGCCTTTTTGGGGTATTTTGATGCCCTGAATTCGAATTTGCTATCCATTTCAGGCATCGTCGGTTGTTTCTTGTAGTTCATTTTGGGTCAGGGTCAGGTCAGTGACGTCACACGCCTGACGTAACCCAATGCACAAATGACCTTGCAGACTTCCGATGTTCCCAACGCATCATTTTTAGAGTTATGACATCGAAATACACACCAAACGATAGAAAATTGATCAAGGATCACGATAGTGAAGGTTTCAAGTCGATATCTCTAACCTTTTTGCCGCAATCGGCGCGGAAATCTGAAAAAGTCAGATTTTTCCGAAAATTTGACCTTTGACCGGTCATAAGTAGGTCAAATGTTGACCTAGGACCAAAAAATATACCACCATTCGCGAGATCTCGTTGAGAGCAATCCGTTGGTCTTTTCCGCTAAGCTCTACGACGCTCTGTTTTCAAACGCCAGGGGGGCGCACCAACCCCCCCCCCCTGCATGGGTGAAGGTGGCAAAACACCGTTTACGGGCGAGGGTTAAATCGCTAGGCATTGAGCTAAATGAGCCCAGCCCCCTTTGCCTTCAAAGAAATTGTTTAGTGCTACCCACCATCATTGTATGTACCACCTTTATATGCCATATTATTTCATATACTTTTATTTTAGGGCGCCATCGTAAAATATATAATATATATATATGTGACTGAACACTGCGTGACGGTCACTGCGATACAATCGTAACGCACTTGATGCAACAATGTAAAATAAATAAAAAGTGTCTAAAACTGAGCTAGCTATTTCAATGTCAAAGCCGTTTGTCGCAAAACATTTGCATCAGGCTGGAGAAAGGTTATTATTTCATTAAAAAAAATGCTGCTCATATAGACGACTTAGATATGTGATTGTTGAAAAAAAGACTTCTGCTTGCATCGACATTCGCATACTGCTCTGTGCCAGATTTTCTTAGAGCCAATACGGTAAGTGATTTTATGACCAAGTGGGACGCGCTCTCGGGATGGACTGCAGGCTAAACTGCCGTCAAAATCACTCCCTGACCAGGGCTAAAGGCGGGACAGCGGTGTCAATGGAACTTGAGAGACCGGTTGGTCGCTTTACGCCTAGGGGTCATTTCCAGGTGTTTGGATCACATAGAAAGTTGGCGGTCACTTTATCTGCTAGAGTTGGTGTGTAGTAAGTAGCGTATGTTTTCCAGTGCTGGTTGTCTGCTGAACTCGTAGATGCGCCTTGCTGTTATTGGTAGGTCAATGTTTTAGTTGCTGATGTATTTGTTGCTGATGTAATAATGAACCAATGCGGGGCATCGGGAATGGGAGTTCATCCGGCTGAGTGTCCAAGCGGTGTCTAGAAAATCTAGTGGATGATTTTCGGACGTGCGGTGGCTCGGCCGGATCGGGCGAGTACTCACGGCTCCGGCGTTGTGCAGTCCCAGCTGATCGGCCACCTGTTGCACCTGCTCGGCCGCGCCATCCACCTTCACAGTCCACTCGTTACGAAACGCCAGCCGCGTCTCGTGATGGTGCCTGCTGGCTCGGGCTGCCGGCGCCCCACCGAGCCCGGCCAGCAGCACACACAGCAGCCCCGACACACGCATCCACGCCGACTGGCGCCCGCTGGGGAAGCGACAGGACCGGAGAGGAGCCGGGAGCTGCGAGAGGGAGCCGGGAGCTGCGAGAGGGAGCCGGGAGCTCCGACAGGCAGCCGGCGCCGGACGCGACTCACGGGCGGAGTCACAGGACAGGCCAGACGGCCCTCTGAGCGGGATCTGTCGGCTGTGCCGCGCCGATGGGGCGCTGAGCAGACCCACCCAGGCAGCGTCTCCCAGGGAGCTACGGGCGCCGGTCGCGGCCAGGTCCGTCTGCCCCCGCCGCGGCCGCCGCACTCACACCTGTGCCCCGCGCGCCACACATGTGCCGTGACGTCACATGTGGGTGGTGTGGCGTCACTGAGGGCGGCGCTTCGGCCGACCGGACACCGACACGCCCCCTCTACGCCCCCTCCTCTGTCCTCCGACTTAGTGCGTTCGTATTATGATGGAACTATGATGTTCCGAGCAGCCGAGCGAATGTGGCTCTGTCTTATCCGACAGAATTGGTGCGCCACTTACGTCGAGTCAACCGGTGGTGAAGTATGCTTGTGAGCTCGTTTCGGTAACTGAGCAGCGTGTGACTAGTATTTGTAAGTAGGTGGGTAGTTAGGTACACCTGTGCCGATGTTGATAGTGACAGCTGCAATTTGTGCATTTGAACGGCGGACCCTCAATAACATTCTTACGAGACGTATACGTACCTGACAGCTGACTTATGATCACTGATGGCAATATAATCAGTGATCAGTGCTTGGATGATTTGCGGACCGATCAGTAGATTATCGGGCAAAGGACGTAGGTGGAGCGAAAAAGTCGTCAAACCTACAATGTCCGATTGTCAAGTGGAATAAAATGCTACACTGAATCATTTTCTATAATTACAGCGTTAATCTTTACGCAGGCATTCCAAAGTTTATCAATGCAAAAAAAAAATGATAAGGAACAAAGTCCTAGAAATCATCTTAAGTTGATGGGGCAAAACGCTTATTGATTGGGGAAAGTGGCAAATGGGTAGGGCAGCAGCCCCACCAACTATATAGGAAGTTCCGCTTCCGCACCTGAATTATTGGGGACTTAAACAACTCAGAAGTGAAAATCCTTGCTGATTAGGGAACTCACAGCCTGTTCATACGTTACTTAGGATTTTAAACATGGATTTCGCCTTAGTAATGCCACTTTATTGATCAGAAAACAACAGTGCAATGCGCATTTGAAAAGGATGTCATATGGTATGGCATGAACTGAAGGTGTAGGTCGGTAGTTAAATATCCAGTCTGCTAATATTTTTATAGCAAAGGAATGAATTTTTAATTTTTCATATTTATAATCAGGTTATGTTTCATTAACCAATGTTTTTATACCGTTTCAGTCACTACCTTATTAGTCAGGAATTAATAATAGGTACCATGCATTTGCCATTTACATAAAACAAAGCAAATATGTACAATGTACATGACAAATGGGAGAGCCAATTCATTATCCATTGTATCACCATTTCATTTTTCTCAGTTTATCCCAAGTATCTACCAGTGTCTTTCTCCATTTGTCAACGGATGGGAAGATGAATAGAAGTTCCAATCAGCCTGTAAATACTTGTGCACTGTGTGAAATGAGTGAAGGGCAGTGGCTTCTTCCACGCTGCAAGCTGTCAGGATTCCTACATTCATGCCGATGCAAATGTACATATATCCCTACTGTCGTCATAACCGTGTAACAGCATCCCGCGTGTTAATTAGTTTTTAGAGCGCTGGTGGTATGAGGGAGGCACCATGAGTAAGTGGAAGACCGACCCGTGAAGATGAGCGAAGAAAATGCTCAACCAATTGAGTTGCGGCCAATGCTTGACAGTACACGAGGTCTGTCTGTAACGCGCACTTGCTCAAGTAGGTATCGGCGGGGAAATGGCGGGGAAAATGTCAGGAATACATCTATATACATAGACGTTGCGAGAGAGAGAGAGAGAGAGAGAGAGAGAGAGAGAGAGAGAGAGAGAGAGAGAGAGAGAGAGAGAGAGAGAGAGAGAGAGAAGAGAGAAAGAGAGAGCGAGAGAGAGAGGGAGAGAGAGAGAGAGATGAAGAGAGGGAAGAGCCGAGAGAGGATGTTTGAGTGAAATGACTCTTGTTTAATTTTAATGGTACGATCTAAGGCACTATACTCATGAAGATCAAACATTTGAACATGTTCTACTGCGGTGTCAGGTTTTGTCATTTTCTCGCCGCTCTCGTCTGCAGGTGGGCTGGAGTCGGCGATAGTGACGCTGATTGCTGATTGGCTATCAATCTGTGCGCTCCATGACAAATGAGCAAACCTCCGGCCCGCGCCGCGCCTGCCGCGCTGCGCCGCCTCCGCCGCAGATAGCTCTGACGCGCCATAAACGACACGATTGCACGTGTAATTCCCTCGAAATGGCGCGAAAATATCGCCATTCACGGATAACGAAACTGATGTCCGTTCTAAAGGTCACACCCGTGTGGATTAAACATGTGTAGGAACTTGCCTAATGGATATAAAAAGTACAGGTTGCCGTTTGGTTGGCAAGAATCAGTGACTTGGTAAATTGTTATATTAAGTTGTATTTTCAAAACTCAGTTCATAATAATATCATTTCAATACCTTTTTAGTTAAAGGTAAGGCGATAAGGTTAGCAGTTAGGTACCGTGGTACGTATATACGGGCGTTATTTCATTCTTACCTTTTGGACGGCTTTGCTGATATCTGTTCGAGCGGCACCTGGCGAGCATACCGCCGATTGCCCCGTGCCCTTGGATATATAGTCATATCAAAAGGACGGTTTGCTGAGCGTATTTGCGCGGAAGGTAAGACGATTATGCGACCGTATCCTCAATTGATTGTATAAAATCATTTTTAAATAGCTATGAATATATTTACGGTCGAAAACGTCAGACGTTAGCATATCTATTACCATAGTCCATCGTATTGCGCCCCGCATTTAGAATACTTTGCTATATTGTTAGGAATAACCTCCAGTACAATGACGTTCAGTTTGTTATTGGGCGCCCACTTCTTCTCAAATATGTACGAATAATGCAAATATGATCTTATCGCAGTTATTGGTCAGCGTTTTGACGTGATCGCCCAAAAGAAAGAACTGCAAGGAGCTCGGACTACCTATAACTATGCATGTAGGTAAACTATAATTACTAGATTTCTGTTTTGGCTGGTCGGTAGTTCTTTAATATCACGGTGAGCGACTGAGCGCGACGCCCAAACAATCGTGGGCCTCCTGCATTGCCATGTCAGCTGCTTTTGATAGCGCGAAACCAAGCAAAGATCATTTAAACGGAAAAACGCACAGATCGAATAGAATTTCAATTGCAACTGCAGTGAAGCCTAGATTAAAAGTGTATTATATGCCTGCACAGCGACATATAGAGATAATCAAAATCAATACTTTATTTCCTGTTTCCGATTGTTTTTGTTTTTGCCTTTGCATCTACATGTGTAACTTCATTTATGTATGTTAGGCAGTAGGCATGCCTACTTACCTTTTGTTCCTTTATACATCTTAATTCATTATGCCAATGAATCGATCACCATTCACTTAACCCTCGCCCGCACCTGCCATTTTCCCATCCCAGAACGCACATGGGGGGGGGGGGTGCCACCCCCGCGCCATTTCGTTCCTGCTGGAGATAGAGCTTCGCGGCAAAAACCAACATATTTTTTTGGGAAGAGACGAATCCAATGGTACCCAACTTTACATTATTAGGTCCATCATTGACCTTCCAGGTCAGGTCAAACTAAAAAATGTTGCTGTTTAGGGCCACCGTTGGAATATCACGTGTTGTCGTTTATGATTGATTCGTAGCCGCTGATCACGAATCTGGCATCTATTTTCCTCTAGCAAAGATACTCCTCTGTGACCTTGACCTTTGAGCAGCCTTGTATCGTAAGATGAACCACAAATAGGAACCTGATAACCCTCAAAACATTCTAAAACATCTTGGAATGTAGAACGCAAGATGTACAAAAAAGTGCAAAGTGTGAGGTCAATTTTGAGCATGACCTTGACCTTGACCTTTGATTTTGAGCACATTTTCAGAATCCTTAGATTCTCTTTTCTCTTTCGTCAGATTCTCTCTCGTTTTACACCAAATTTTGCCGTTTTTTTTCATCCTCCAGAATACTTGCTTTGAGATCGCTACACATTTGCCAATTTTTGCATTTGACCTTGACCTCTCACCTCTGACCTTGAGAATTGACCTGAGGTCAAAAATTTTAAGTGCTTTAGTATCGTCTATTAAGGGCCTTTCGTTTGGTGCCATTTTTGTTTCCGTAGCTTCCTTATTTACGGAGTTAGACGGGGGGGGGGCGAAAAACGCCCCTTAACCCGCGCGGGGCTGGGGGGTAAATTTTACCCCCCCCCCTCACGAATTTTTGCAATATCTCAAAAACGGCGGCGCGCAGCGCCGCCAAACTTTCAGTACCTTTTCTTACATCAATTTGACATGTTCCCTGAAAATTTGAGCGAAATCCGTCGGAATTTTTTTGAGAAATTGACGTTTTAGTGACGTCATGTTCGCCATTTTCGCCTCAAAAACGGCAAAACTTCAAACGCCGCTAACATCTTAATTTTTAAGGAAATCAAGACGTAACAAAAAAGGTTATACCTAATTTTACTTTGTCTATCAAATGGCTATCTCGGTTTCTTGAAAATTTTGGATTTTGGCCCAATTTTTTTCTTCAAAAAACTGACTTTTTTGGGAAAACAATTATAAAATCCAAAATTTTGGGTGTGTCGAAAAAACCGGAATATATGTCAGAGAAGTGGTCTATGTGCACCTACATACCAATTTTTAGAAGAATCGGTTAAAAAATGTGGGAGTTATTCAAAATCTTATGACGTCACGACACACAAAATTTTTGAAAAATGATTTTTTTGGAAGTTCTAGACCTCGTACGGAAACAAAAATAGCACCATTCGAATCGCCGTGAAAAACTGCATCAGATATACACCTTTTTAGGCCTTAACAACCAACTTCAAAATTTGAACTCACTTGACCTGACCTTGACCTGACCTCGACCTGAAATTCATCCAGAGGTGGTCCATATCACTTATTGAGTGTGCCTATTGAATGCTATGAGTAAAATGACTCATAAAACATGTGTCGCACATGCCCTTTTCTATATTTTGTTTTTTTGGTGACCTGACCTGACCTGGCCTGACCTTGACCTTGACCTCTGAATGATATTGTATGCAACGAATATTGTCTTGGTAGCCTAAGAACACGTTTTGGGCAATCAGTCTCAGTCCATGACTCCATTCTTCGGCAACTACGGTGCAAGGCCGATACTGTAGAAACTTGCAATTTGTACCCTTGACCTGACCTTGACCTTGACCTCAAACTTTAAATAAAGTACATGTTTTTAGTTGTTCGTGATGAGAGTTTTCGATTGGCGTTTGAATTTTCCAAATCGGACCATTAGTTCGGGAGATAACAGGGGGGTAAAATTTACACCCCCCCCCCCCCCCAGCCCCGCGCGTTCGGCTGGAGACCCCAGCCCCGCGCGGGTTAACCGGCCGTTACGAGTACGAGTACATAACCGTTCTGAATATATTCTCCAATGAAAGTGGGTTTATGGCTTCTCTGTCCCACCCCCCTCATGCCCGTTTACTGCCGCCTATATGCCTTTATGACAGTTCTGACACTGCTGCGGCTCAATGAAGAAACCAAAGTATTGCGGTGCAGTCTACTTTCAGGCGCTTACCGCTAGTGCCATCTAGCGACTTCACACGCAAGTACAGCTTATTAACGCTACCTAGCGGGAAAAAACGCCAACCGCTGAGCGCCACTGGTCGCCAAATCCCAAATGAAACGTAAAAATGTCTTGGTCTTACCACTTGCCAGCTCTCGTTTTCTTTTTCCAACGGCTAAAAATTGACGCCGCGCGTGTTTTGTTCCTTGTGATTAGTTCAGTTTTGTTTACTAAGACTTCATCTCTCCATAGTTCCGCCCCTTCCTATATACACGCTCGTGGCCTGTGCCTCATCGGTCACCCACAGACAGTCTCCATGCTCCAGTATATTTGTCAGTCGGGTCCGGCCGGCCGGCCAGGTCAGGTCAGGTCAGGTCGGCCGGGGTGCACAACACTCAGGCAGGCAGGCTGGCACACGAACGGCACGCGTAGAACACACCCATACACAGACGCTCGCTCGCACACCGTCGCCGAGCCGAGCCGACGGCCAAGTTTCCAGCACCAATTCCGCAGTCCCGCACCCTTCCCGAGCAAGCACACACGCGCGCGGCCAGCCCGTGAGACCCTGCTGGCAGCCAGCGAGCTAGTAATCGCTACACACATCGACGGAAATGCACAATATCACCGTATCTATAAATAAAGGTGTCGCATTCCGCATTTGGTTTATGCATTGCTGAAGGGTCACTCTTGGAGCATGTAACTGGATTTAGATCTGATATATCTTTTGCTATTTTTATGCATTTTTAAAGTGTTTAAACGTAGAAAACACCAGCGCACTGGGACGCTTTGTACGGCCGCCGCCACCGCTGCTCGCACCCGGACAGCGAGAGGGACGGCCGGCGAGGCAGCGGCCCCAGAGAGTGACTCGACACATGCGTATTTACACGGCGAGGGCGCCCCAGCCGGCAGTCGCATCGGGCCCGGCCGACCCGGCTAAAACCACACCGCACCTCGCATCGCGCTCCGAACCCCCACCGGCCGGCGCCTCATGGAATGGACGATAGGCAGCGCTGGCGGCGTGCCACCAGGCGGCGCCGGCGGCGCTCACTGCCGCTTCACGGTGAGCACCAGGCTGGCGGCCGGCGGCCGGGTGCCGTTGTGCTGCGCGCCGGCCGCCGGGCCCGGCTCCGGCGGCGGACCGTCGTCCAGCGGGTCCTCGCGCAGCGCGTCCTGCCAGCGCGCCGGCTCGGCCAGCCGCGCCCGTTTGCGCGGCGGCTCTGGGCCGACGGCCGGCCGGTCGGCCGCCGGCGCCGAGTCGTCCTCGGCGTCCGATAACTCCAGGTCGAAGCCGGCCAGGCCGGCCAACTGCGGCTTGCGCGTCAGGTAGGCGCTGAGGAAGTCGGCCTTGCTCGACTGGAGCAGGGTGCGCGCCCCGCGGCTCGAATCAGCCTTGCCTAGCGCTGCCTCATCGGACGCCTCGTCTTTGAGGCTGGGCAGGACGCACAGTGACAGCGACAGCAGCAAGATCATCAGGCAGGTGCTCGGGTGGGCCACACCGCGGCCGGCGCCCAATGCCACCCGCGTGATGTGCGCCTGCCGAGAACGGAGGGACGCGTGTCAGGACACTTCGAGCATTGACCTCAACCCCAGCCTACAGCTCCAGCCAACTGACTACACCTTATCAATACACTGTCGCAATAGAAATCGAAAACAAACATTGACAAATTTGTTACACTTTTCCTCCGTCGTTGTCTCACCTGTAGCCGCTTCAGTTGCGAGGTGAGCGTCTCGTTGTGGGTGCTCAGGGAGCTGTTCTGAGCCGCCAGCTGGCCGTTCTGAGTCTCCAGCCGCTTGATGCGCTTGTGCAGGTCCTGGTTCTCGGCAGTGCACATCCGTACCCTGGCGACAAAATAGTGCGTCGGTCAGTAACATTGACACACCGGGTAACCAGGGTAACCTGATCGCGCAGGTGACATCCATGTTGTTGGATATTGCCCATGGCTGATAAATCAATTTTTGAATTTACCAGCTTTAGAGCAAAACATCGGCCTGCACCGGCAAGTAACTAGACCAGACGACTCCAGAAGATCAACTATCTGTCACACGCAACAACTACCCATTACTCATACTTTTTTATTTATTTACCTGATATTACCCCCCCCCCCCACACACACACATACACATATGCAAGCAAGCGCCACCCACCTGTCCTCCAGTCCGTCAATGTACTCCTTTTTCCGCTTGCGGCTGTCCTGGGCGGACATCTTGTTGCGGATCTTGCGTCGGATCCTCTTCAGTTCCCTCTCTTCCTCCCTAGTGAGTGGGTAGTGGGTGGGCAGAAGGACTCCCTCCTTCTTCAGCAGTCGCCGTTCCTCGACTGTGGAGGGGGTAGGGCGAGGTTAGAGGTCACATGGTATGACACGACACGGAATAAGCATGACACGGTTAGAGGTCACATGACACGACACAGCTTGCCAAGGACACGGCCGGTTCAGAGGTCACACTGCACGGCACGGCACAGCACAGGACAACACAACACAACACAACACAACACAACACAACACAACACAACACAACACAGAATACGCACGGGTCGGCACGGCAAAACTCGACATGGCAAGATATAGCCCGGCACGGCACGGCATGCCACAGCACGGCACGGCAGGGCACGGTGAGACACGGCACGGATCACGAACGCGGCACGGCGCAGGACTCGGGAGTCAGAGTCTGACAGTGGTTTCGCCAGGAGAGGCCCTGTCGTGGCACCCTGCCCAGTCAGCTGATCGGGGGAGGGATATGGGCCAGCTGGGACACCGTCCAGTCACCGCGTACGGCCGCCAACTTCGTAGGGTGTGAAGTAACGAATCACGAGAAAGGTAGGCGGATAAAAGCGGATATTGTTTGGTCATCTAAAAAAATCATCTCATAGCAATAATGTTCCCGTATTACAGCGAGCTCATAAACGTTACAGAACACAACCATGACACAGCCTGTCATACACTACAGTGATAGCCAGTGGCTTACGTATCACCTGAACCCAATTTGAGAACTAATCAACCCAAATCTTACATCAAAGCCCATCACACGTAAATCTCTTCCCCCTCCTTCGCATTTCTACCCCATCAGTCCACCTACTGGAGAGGTCGAGTTTCTTTTTCTGTCCGTCTGCCAGTCCCACGCCGGAGGTGGCGGCGTCCCCCTGTCGGCTGCTGCAGACGGTGATGACCGGACCGGTGGAGGTGTGGAGGCGCTCTCCGCCGGCGATACTGTACACCATGCGCGTGGTGCCGCCGTGGCGGATGGCGGTCGGGCGCAGCTCACCCACAATAGTCGGAGACTGCGGGACAGAGACGGAGCGTTTGAACGGTGGGTAGATGCCTATTTTTCGGGAGTGTTTGTGTGAAGAAGGCACAACATTCAACAGGGAAATGTGAAGCAAAGCATATCGGAACTTGTTGTCAGATCTAACTCCAGGCTGTTAATTCAGCCATGTACGATGATAAGAGCCGAGACTCCTGTCCCACGTACGCATACTGCTGCAGACACGTTCCATTTTAGTCCCTGGGGCAAACGCGCTCCGACCAGTCTGCGTCGGTGCTGGGGGTAACATCAGCTAACAGAAGACACCCCTCCCCTCCTGAACCGCCTCCTGCGCACCTTGACATTGCCGGGCGCGCTGAGGATCTTGACCGTCTTGATGTTGCCGGAGCCTTTGATGTTGACGGGTATGAGGATGGACTGTCCGGGCCGCGCCTGGCGGAGGACGGTGACGGTCGGCGGCGCGGGGGCGGTGGTGACGGGACGCGCCGCCGCCGGTACTGCCGTCCGCTCGCCGACACCTGTGAACAGAGGGAGAGAGGGGTCAGCAGGGCGGTACACTGACGTTAGCGAGACGTAAGAGTCTGTGGACAGACGGGTCGGCGGCGGCGTGAGTCAGGGTCGGCTGATGACGACCCCCCACCGCTGGCTATCAGCCAGTGACGGTGAGCCGATACACTCAATGCGTCTCGGTGTAGTCAAGTGTCTGATGTATGATATAATGCGTTAGCGGTTGGCGTTAGCCTCATCGTTCTTGGCACTTGTCTGCAGATAAGGTGAATCGAAAAACTAACCAATCAGCTTATATCAAATCATGTCTACGTTTGCTGTGAGCCTCAAAAGACAATGTCGGCGTGATTCGCTTCATTTGAAATGATATCATTACTATGGCATAGAGCGGAAACGGTTAACGTTTGAAGAGAATGTGTCACATGTACGACTGTAACTTAGTTCGTCTGAGCGCGACAGCGGAGGACTGCGATAGCACAGCGTACAGATTACTTAGAAATGTTGTACATACGGCTTAGGCACTGTTGACCACACGATTCAAATGCATAGACAAAAAAATTATCACGAACATCAAACAATAGCACCACGGCGTCGAAAGCGACCTTCGGTGGGCGGAAATCGGACACCTCTAAGAACCATGACGCACCCAATGTACCCGAAACTTGAATAGACAAATGAACGCGTCGGTTCCTTCACCAAAATAACGTTATTTTTACCGTCCAATGACCCACTTAGAGCGGTCTAACTGCAGTTTACCTCAATGGCCCGGACGTTGCATTTATTCCGCGTTATTTTTAACACCGACTGGTCCGCGTGGTAACCAGGGGTCACGCGGACCATCCGTGGTTCGGCTGCTGTCCATAACGACCGCGTCGGCGTCCATTTAGAGCGAACCAAATTGCTGACCTACGTTCCACCAGAGCCGCCTCCCGGACACAGTGCTAGCTGCGCGGAGTCTCTCTGTCCGGCCCCCCTCTATCCCCGCAGTAGCGGCTGACGGCCTCTGACGCAATGTGACGTCACAGTGCCGGCCACGTCGGCACTCCTGAGGTGGCGGCGCACTGGCCGGGTGAGTCAGGACGGCGTCAGCCCCCCCCCCCCGTCCGTCGGTCTCCCCGGCGACCGGTACACACAGGGATCAATGGTCCGGTCATCGGGGGGGGGGGGGCGTACACGTGTCCTTTGCATGGTCCTTCCCACGCACACGCACCACATAGTCCGGCCCCGTACAATACCGAACACTCAGACCAGTGTACATAGAACATCGTCCAGACAGCCAACTGCAGGAAGCAGTTTGCAAGTAGACCGGTAAAAACGACCACGCCGGCCGGCCGGCCCGACCAGGCGCACAGGTGCCGGCTTTCGAGCGGGTCACGGCAAAATGGCGCAGACTCAACCAGCAGGGCCGGATAAAACTGCGACGACCGGTTTGGAGGCAACATGGCGCCGCCCACGAACGTGTAAGTGGCGTGTTCGCATGCGAGGAAAGTCGAGGGGACACCTAGGACGCTATCAGCCTGGGGGCGTTATCAATCTTTCCCGGCGGCCCGACATTCGGCGGCGGATGTCCACCGTGACTGTCCGTGACGTCCACCGTGACTGACTGGGTCCGTGATTGGGGTCGAAAGGAACGGAACGGCCGTATCGCCGGCCCAGACGCCAGCTGTGCCGTCCCACCCGGCCGACAGGGCTGCGGGAGATACTAACTATACGGCTATCGGGGGCGGTACGATAGCGCAGAGGCTCGACGCTGCCCTCTTGGTAAATATCAGCGAGCTTCCTCATGGCCGAACGCGATACAGTCATATCGGGCAGCTGACAACATATCAAGAGAATTTTCTTACGCAATGTTATGCGTTCCTTGCTCATAGGCCCATGAAGACAGCAGCAGGTTGTTAACATTAGAACCCAACCGTTTTGAAATTGGCATCCCAATGATAACATTTCTCGATCGGAGACAAACTCAAAACAAGCAAACTCTGACGTCCACCGCCTCGAGAAGCGTGCCAATGACGCACGTTTGGTGAAGTCCAAACAGAGGAAACCCCACATCACCAAAACTGCGTCAGAGGTCACGCAGACTACCCTCCCATTCCGTCAATTCGGGCAGCCTTTCGGGGCTCTGGGAAGCCCGGCGGGTGGACCAGTCATCACCCTTCGCCCGCCTGTATCGGCCGGCTCGCCTGCACGGCATGTGTCGGTCAGTATAAACACAGTCTGTTCGAACAGCGCCGGCAACGTGCCAGCCTCCCGCCTGTAAACACTTCTCCCGGAGACGGCGGACCGGACACGGTCCGGCCTTAGAGGCGCGGGGGAGGGAGCGATGGAGCAAAGGTACGGTGGAACAGGGTATGATGGCTCGGGTAGGATGGAAGCAGGATATAGATGGGATGAAGATGGGATGGAAAGGGATGAGGACATGCATAGGAAACCATTTGGATGATGCAGGGTGGATCAGGAGGAATGTCGCGGAGTCGAAATGGACATTATCCAAGTTTGTATGACCGGAAACCAGCTCTGCATATCAGCCAGACCTTGCGATCGCCACAGGTGAGGGCGTCCATTGTCCGCTATTGACTGGCTAGAGCACTGAACTTAGCGTTATGATGCGTTAATTGCAGCAGATAGCTGTGTCTGACGTCTTTGTTATTTTTTGGGCTGGCTGGCTGCCAACAGGTGTGTGTTTGTTATTTATTTTTGTTTTCGACAGGAAGAGACAACTCACAATTGCGAAGAGATTACCTTTTTGACATTGACACACTCAGGACATTGGTGGAAAATGTGATGAGAATGAGATATTTAAAGATTGAGATGAGGAGTGAGTGCAAGTGAGCGTTGGTTATTTTATTGTTTGTTTTCATCAGAAGATGGATTGAAATGTGTGATAAATAGGTATTCCAGAGATGATTGTACCTAAATGAAGATCCGAGTTGAAATGGAAAAAAGCAAGAGAAAACAGGGATTATTATTGTTACAGTAGTTTGGTTATGATTCTGCAAGCACCTTTGTCATAACCACAACTAATTTGCCAAGCAGTTCATCAAGGTGTTCATAGATAGGCTTATTTTCAAAGAATAACAGTAGACTCCTGATACGTGTGGTTTCATGTGTTTGACGAGCTGATGTTATCTGTTCTGTCATGTGCATTGATATTAAAGTAAATACGTGCATGCTTGGACCCTGGCAAGATGAATAAAAGCATTCATATTTTGTAATAATGAATAATGTTGCCCTCTCTTCATGACTCATAATACCTATGTTATGGAAGTGTAATGGGGTCTGAATGAAGTCAACCATAGCTCATTTTGAAATACATTTCCTGCTGGCTGGAAGCTGCACACACCACATGTAAAACTGAAATTCATTCATTGGTTTTGGCTTAAAAATAACAAAGATTATGATAACCAAGTTTTGGAGCCTGGAAGGAGTGTTCAGTGTTAGAATGCACTAATGCTGATAATGGTCTTCCAGAGTCTCAATTCCTATTCTGGTTGCAATGCACAAACTCTGATCCACCTTGACACATTCTCACAGACAACTTTCAGTTATCACAGATGTATTAGAAACACTGCACCATTTTCAATGCATGACAGGCAAGTAGCCAGTAGGTACTATCATTGATTGAAGCAGGACCTTCAACAGCAGACATTAGACCAGGAAATACAAGCTAGCCCCTTCATATTGATATTCAATTATGGTACATCTCACAAACATCAGAAGGTAGGCAGAGGCGGATCCAGCTCAGAGTTTTGGGGGGGGGGCAAACCATAACAATTTATCGATTCTTTCCATGCATCGTCCATAGGCATAATGTTAAAATTATGCCGTTTGGGGGGCAAATGCCCATTTTGCCCCCCCTGGATCCGCCACTGAAGGTAGGTCACTATGTTTTTTACATTAATCCTAGAATATTGACATCAAATATTGATATTGAATAATAATCTTTCACTTCCATTTTAGATGACGTTTCATTAACTAAATATTGATATAGAAATAAAATATTATGAGCGTCAAGCGTGGGCACAACATCAAACTTGGTGCCCAAAGCAGAAAGCTCGCCACTCAGCATGAGCATGCAAGTCAAACTTTAATTTCTGATTAATCCGACAAAACACATGGTTGCAAATATCAATAACATGTTAAACTGAAGATGAACCAGTTACATATACTGTATTATTATATGAAACTAAATTAGAACATGGTAAATCCAGCATAAATTATGCATTCTGATTCAATCAAACACGGTCTACAATGATTCATCTGGGATTTGGGAAACCAATAAACCACCAATAAACTCAGTTGGTATTCATTCATTGGCGATATGATTTATATAGATGCACTTCCATACCTACCTATCTATTTCAATTTATACTTGTGACAACCTCTTGCTACTTTAACTTGACTTTCACTTAATATTTGAATATTTTCATCTCGTCACATTTCCAATCAATCTTCTGAGCGTGTCAATAGCAAAAAAGTAATCTCTTCGAAATTATGAGATGTCTCTTCCTGCCGAAAACCAAAATGAATAACAACCGCACACCTGTCGGCAGCCAGCCAGCCAGCCAAAACAATAACAAAGATCGAAGATACCAATGCGCAAATACAATTTGATTTAGTAGCCTTGCGATAATTCAGTTTGTATAAAGCGCGCAAGCACTGTCTCATAATTGTCCCTACCAGCCGCTAGACGCACTGGATCCACCGAGCGCCGTGTGCCGAACCCACCGACCGAGCGACCGGCCAGCCGGCGGTGGCGGCCAGGCGGCCCACGCGACGATGAGCCGGCGGACGGGGGAGGCGGCGAGCGGAGCGGAACGGGCTCACGGCGCACACGGCCGCGCTTCCGCCGGTCATGGCCGACCGCCGCCAGTTCGTCCAACGGTTCCCCAACCACCGCCGCCGCCGAGGCTACGACGCCGTCGAATCGCCCACGCGTCTCCGCCGACTGGAGAAAGAGTCGACAGTTTTCATGACTGCCGAGGGCGAGGCTACGACGGCGCGCTAATAG